AACACAATTCACAATAACTTAACTGTGGAACCCACCTAGATACCCCTCAGTAGATGAATGGATTAAAAGAATGTGATATATATATATATATATATATATATATATATATATATATATATAGACACACACACAATGGAATATTTTTTTTCAGCAATAAAAGAGAATAAAATCATGACATTTGCAGGTAAATGGATGGCGTTGGAGAAAATAATGCTAAGTGAAGTTAGCCAATCCCCCCAAAACAAATGCCAAATGTTTTCTCTGATATAAGGTGACTGACCTATAATGGGGTAGGGAGGGTGAGCTTGGGAGGAATAGACAAACTCTAGATAGGGCACAGGGTTGGAAGAGGTAGGGAGAGAGCAGGGGTTTAGCAAGGATGGTGGAATGTGATAGACATCATTACCCAAAGCACATGTATGAAGACATGAATTGGTGTGAAAATACTTTCTATACAAACAGAGATATGAAAAATAGTGCTCTATATGTGTAATAAAAATTGTAATGCATTCCATTGCCATGTATTTAAAAAATAAAATCAATTAAATATTTTAAAAATGGGTTACCCATAAGTAGCTTGTAGGGAAAAGCTACTTCTCTACTCCTGAGTTAGAAGATGTGGCACTTCCCGAGGCTGATGTTGCGGGATGATCCTCCTAAACTTCTGGGAAAAGAGACGGCTGATGGGACAGTGATTCAGGGAATGACTCCAGGATAAATGACGCATGAGATCCGGCCGTCAGCCCACTCAACACCTGTAACCTTCATGCTTGAGCAATGTCTTTTTTACAGACAGATATACACAATGGGCTCCTGGGGACATGAGAAAACCTGGGAAAAACTAGAAGTCTCTTTCATACCAAGTAGGAGATGACCTTCTCTCTGAAGGAAACCCAAGTGAAGACTTATGAGATGACTCCAAATGAGAGGGACTAAAAATGCACTCATTATCGGGGCTTTGTTTCATTGCTTTTGTTCAGTTACTGTAAGTTATCACTCACAGCATCAGGGCTTTGTTTGCTGTGTGGAAATTACCATTCCTTCCAGCTCAGTGACAAGTCACTGGGAAAAGGCTCCTCCCTCCCTAAAAGGACTGCTTGTAGAAAAGGATATTTGTAAGGGAGTCTGAAGACTGTAGAGGAGGAAGAAGAAAACCATTGTAACAGTTCTTGACTCATTAATTAACTGACTGGAAGGGAACCTTTCTGAACCTGGCACGCCCTATCTGGATTGGATTTACTGCCACGGTGTTACTGGAGATTGGATAATTATGAATTTGAGAAAAGTGCATGAATGTATTAAACTAACTCTCTTCTCTCTCTCTCTTTTTGGTATCAAGTATCGAATCCAGGGTTTGCCAAGTTGCTTAGGGTCTTGCTAAAATTGCTGAGGCTGGCTTTGAACTTGAAATCCTCCTGCTTTGGCCTCCCAAGCTGCTGGGATTACAGGCGTGTGCCATGGCACCTGGCCATGTCAAACTTTATATGAATGTTGTCAAGGTTTTAGTGAAAGGCCACTCCTTTGTAGACTGAAAAGGATAGTCCTGCTGTCAGTGCCCTAGGGAGAAGTTAGTCCTGGGAGTACTTGAGGAAACCCACCACCAAGCAGAGAGAAGGGGAACTTCTCTTCCCCCTGGACACCAGGGATCATTTTGGTCTAGAATCGAGGTTCTCTTTGGGATATGGAACATTCCTGTCTGGGTGGAATTTGATCTGGGAAGAGTGGGCTTGCCCTGGGAAGACAGGAGAGGTAGACAAGTATTCTGGGATGGCTCCTACACTGGGCAGCAATATAATACTTATAGGTTACTAATGACTTTGGGATTCCCATTATCCCCAAGGCTTCAGCAATCTTTTGAAATGACCAGAAAGTCAAGGTTGCTTTCAGTGGTGCTCTGAGGAGCTAGCAGAGGGCTTCTAGTCACACCATAACTTTTTATCCTAAATCATATTTCAAAAGTGCTTATGAGCTAACAATCCGTGGCAGACTTTGTGTCACAAGAACTATTCAAACTGAACTTTTACTTGATTTTAATTTAAGTTTCTTTTCATATATTTCACTTTTCTTGCTAGCAAATTTGTTTCTGACATCATATGGTTGTCTGGGAAGTATTTTATAAAGCATTTTAGGTGGCCTACATTTGTCACATGGCTGACCATGAAAAGACAGAGATGAGTTAGACCTGTTGACCTTGAAATGCACAAGGCTGCCTGGGTCAGTGGGCCAGGGGTCAGTTTCCACTTTGTAAGATAAGTCAGAAGATTAAGTCCATGCTCAGAAATTCCTATTATCTTAGGCTTTTTTTTTTCCTGCTAAAAATGTTACAATTCCCTTGGATTCCTTGGTTTGTGCTATTTTTTCCCCCTAAAATCTCTTCTAGTTTTTGATCCTTTGTTTATTGCTGCTCTTATCTTTCACACTAAAACCAAAACAAGGGAAGATAATTTCACACTTTGGTCCATTATTCATTTAGCATAACTGGCTGTATTGCTTAGGGGACATGATAATAAAATAAAGATATGTCTCATGCTGATTGAAATTAATTTTATTATAGAAAGCTTCCAATTTTAACTTCATTGAAACTGAAATTCACATTTTAAATACATTTTCAACAAACTCATCTTAAATTATATCCTACACAGGAAAAATATTAGCAGTTTCATTTATCTTTAGCACATTTTTAGGTTGTCATTATAACTGTGTAAAGATTTTTCTCTAATAAACATGCATTGCTTTATAATAGAACTTAGATTAATATACTCATTACAGACAAGTAATTGCCTTAACAAAAGAGAAAATTCCAAAATAGTTTCTAATACTACCTTTGGTTATTTAACAGTCATGTGGGACCTGAATATTTGGAATATGAATTACAAGTATCTCTAATACAAGTATCTCTAATACAGTGTTTCTAGAATAGATTATTACAACTTTTACTTTGTAGAAGCTAAATGTGGAAGTTCAAAGAAGTTGACATGTAATCAGCAAACTTAACAATATCCTCTTTCAGACAGCATAGCCCAGACCACCAGAGGACAGCAATTTTATAGTTTTTGTCACTTGGAAGATAGTCTTAATCAGGTTAGATTAGTTAACTTGAAGATACTGTTGAAGTCATAAGAAAACTTAAATAGAGAAAATTCTATCAAAAACCATGTGCTATATGAATACTAAGTGAAATCCAAATTAAGTTATAAACAGGTTCATTAATAATGTACAAACTCACGGAAAGTGATCAACTCTGTAACAGCACTTAGCAACTCTTTTTACATACTGAGGACTTCTACTCTGTTTCTATCAGAATGAAATCCAGTTTCTCAGCAAGGTTGGTTAGGAGTCTCATTTTGGCTGGATTCCCAGCCAGAATCTGGACAGAATGAGATTTTTTTGACTCCTGCTTCCTTGATCTAAAAAATGATCATAAGTCTCTTCAGGGCTCCTCACATCCTGCTCCTCTTCCAGGAAATCCCTGGAACATTCTCTTAACCCTCCCACTTTCTCTGTTCTTACCTCAGGTATCTTTGCTTCCTCAAGGTCTTCTTCAGATGAGTTTGAGCCTCTATTCCAAAATTTCCTAACATCTTAGCCCTTTACTTTAATTCTCCAACCCCTTTGCCCAACCCTTTTCTTTAACAGTTGCAGAGAGATTGTTGGGTGATTGGTGTTGGCATCTCCTTTCTTCATCTGTGTTTCAGAGAAGCCAATTCCACTTGTGTTTCCAAAGCTGGCTGAGGCTGAAAGAAACTTTGAGAAGCTATCTCTGAGGTCATGGGTAAAGGTAAAGATTTGGAGGATGGGAAGTGAAAATGCTGGAGTGGAAAGAAGTCTGGAGCCCTTTCTCTGAGCCTAGAAGTTCCTTTCAAACTGATTTCCTCTGATGGTTGTGTCAGGTGCCGCAGAGATGAAACTGGGCAGCTGAACTGGTGTCTGAGTCCTGATAGCTAAGATTCAGGAATTTCAGGGAAGCCCCAGTCCTCCTGGAACACATGGCTTAGGGGTCTAAGGTGGAATGAATGAAGACCATCATACCCTTCTTTAACGATTCTGGACTGTCCTAGGGTTCTCACCGCCAAACTTTTGAATGGTCTTTGAAGAGCAGCAACACATCTCTGAGATGGTTTTGCTCCTGTATCCAGTTCGTAGGGGATTAGAAGACATAAAATTCAGTTTAGAGAGAACTTAAGGAATTATCACCTGTACTGTTATGAACTATGCATTGTATGCTCTGATGATAGCCTTCTTTCCTCCTAGATTGCTCTGGGCAGTTCTGGGTTTCCTTTCCTACAAACCTCCAGGTAAGGCCTGGTGGACTTTGGAACTTGATAAATACTGAACGATATTAAATTTGAGGGCCTCATTTTCTAGTAGATTTTGGGCACCAGATTTTCCTTCAACCACAAACTGAAAATATTCATCTTAGTACAATTATGGAAGTAAGCACCAGATACTAATATACACATCTAAGGACATTTTTTTTTTTTCTTAGAAGGTTCATATAAGTCCACGAAACTTGTCAGTAAATATGCTCTTAGTATAATCACTATCATTTTGGGTGTGTAAAAAAATGATCGGATCTGAATTTCTTTTCATTGGTTTTAATATCTGGCACACCAAAATGCCGGTTTATTCATGCCACTTGAGATAATTTTCCTTCAGTCCTTTACAGTGGCCCCTTAGACACATTCCAGAGACAACACACATATATATATATTGTTGTTGTTGTTGTTGTTTGTTTAAACACGACATTGCCCAGAATTTGTTCAGGAGTTGAAGGGAGAAACTGCTGATCCAATCACAAGGTGTTCTTGGCACCTAGGAGGGCCCGAGTTGGGACAGGCAGATTTGGGTTCTGCAGTGGGAATGCTCAGCGCAGCGCAGCGTCAGCGATGGTGACGCCCCGGGACGATCTGGGCGGCTTCCCCGCTGGGCAGACCAGGGGTGTGGGAGAGCGGGTAGAGGGTGGGCCTGGGACCGCTTTCCCGAGAGCGAGCGCCCGCCCGGACGGCCACGGGGAGAGAGATGGCAGGCTCGGGCAGCTCCCCAGCGGCTCCCGCGGTGATAAAACTTGAGAAATAACTAGGAGGGGCTGCTCTACGTCTCCTGGGTCCAATCCGGTTTCAGGAGAGAACACGCTCCCGGGCAGACAAGCCTGAGAGAGGCCAAAGCGACTACAAGACAAGCAACAGCCAGCAAAGCTCCTCCCGCGCCTTTGCTCTGGGCTTCGCCGCCCTGCGCCCGCATTCTCCTGCCACTGTCCCGCGCAGGCAGGGATGGCCGCCGCCGGTCTCCGGGAGCCACTGCATGAAGCCCTCTGCATGCAACTGCTGCTGACCCTCTTGGTGAGCCATCGGTCCCGGTCCCTATCTTAATTATGGAGCCGGGATGGCGAAGGGGGTCGATCAGTCGTGGTCGCTGCGGGTGGGTGTGATGGGGTGGTAGGGGACAAAATGGACCCAAAGGTAACATTCACTGTTCGGTTCAGTTCTGCCGAGCAAGATACAGGCCCCAAGTTCAGTCTTGGGGTGGAGAAAGAAAAAGGATCTTTGAGGGGCGGCTGTATACTCAGATTGTTTTAGCCTAATTGTGTGAATCATGCGTTGCTTTCCAACTTCTCCGCACTTGGCTGAGAGCCCTCGTGGGTGGGCAGGGAACTGGGACTCGCTATACTCTTCTGGCTCGCAGGGTGGGATGGTAAAGGTAACAGGGCGCGCCTTTGGGTGGAGAGGGACAAAGGATGATTGTTGGTCAGTTAGGATCCTGGAAGGAGCAAAGACAGACGTGAGATGGGGCTGAACAAACTGCCACTGCTTGCCCTGCTCTAAGATTCCTGTTGACCTCGAATGGGGACGTTTGTGAATGGAGTGGTCGGACCTGTGCCCCTGAGTACCCTGTGGGGGTTTCTCAGAGAAACGGGTTTCCTGGCTACGCGTCTCCTAAAGGCTGCTCAGGAGTTCGCCCAAACTATCCCCCCCCCCCCCTTGTCACCCAGCCCGCAGCGATGTCTGTCTGGGGAGCGAGGGTGTGGGAAGGTTGGGCAAGGGTTGCTCTTGGGGACATGGTGGTAGCACGGATGGCCCGGTGGCTAGGACTGGAGTGAAGCTTAAGAATGAAATCAAGGTCGGTTGGGATGACATAGGAAGCAGTGGGATGGGTGGTACTTAGTCCGGCTCTAGGAAGCCCTTTGGCCCTGCAGAGACCCACTAAGGGTTTCTTTGCCTTTTGGCTGAGGACAAGTTTCGCTTGGACAAGAAGTTCTCAAAGAACCCAAGGAGACTTGATAAAAATTGGGAAATCTGACAGCAGTTATCTGTGAAACTTCACACCTAACCAGAGTGACACTTGGGACCTAGGGGAAAGAGCTACAGACTTCCTCTTGTCCAAACATGGGCATGAGGTCTGGAGGGTGAAAGGACTGTGTCTACCAAGTGGGTTCACTGTGGCCAAGCCGGTCTTGGGATTCCCTCACCCTCAAGTAGGACGAGTGGGTCCAAACTTTATTCTGTCTTTAAATGGGAGAGCTATGAATACTGGGTTAGTAGTTGTGATCTAAGATATATCTGCAGGCAAGAAATTGTACAAACAAGGGCATGACCAGCTCTGCAACCGTTCCCACAAAATGAGTTCAAGAACTGACTCCTTACACATGGGAACTGCTGGCAAAATGTATTCTGTGATATTTCGAAGACATTTCCTGCATTTCTATGAAAAACCTTTAATTTGGTGTTTTGTGTTTTCTCTGAGAAGGGATTAGGGAACGGGGAGAAGAAACCGCAGGTACTATGTTTCCAGATTCCCAGTGTTTGCTCCAGGGGAGGATGCGGAAGACACCTAGCTGTCCTGACCCAGAGTCACAATAGGGGTAGGCAGTACCAGTGCCAAAGTGGGTAGAAGTGAAACAGAGAAAGCTCCAGCTCTGGTCTAGGACATACTCCTTCAGGATTATTTTAAAAAGGAATTTTAGTAGTGTACTTACTAAAATTAAGTAAGTATATTTGGAGACCTGGAGAGTTTACACAGAATGGTAATTTCTTTCATCTGCAACCCTCAATTTACAAATTCTTTGGGTCCTGATGGGTACATTAAGACCTCAATTGATCCTCTCTTTTCTGTATGTTCTTCCAACTTTGAGTATGTCATTATTGGCATATCATTTTAGAAAAACTGTTCATATTCTAGAAACTAATGGGTCTCTTCAAAAACAATTGCTTGTTCTAAGGAGAAAGCTTTTCAAAGGAAGTCTTAACACCAATCTGAGATTTCTAACACGGTAGCCTTCTCACGGAGCTGTGCCAGAAGGTAGAGGAATTTTCCCAATTTGCACTTTTCTTTTCCTGTTTCTCTTTCCCTCTGTTCTTTCCTCAACCATACTATAAACTGCTGTCAGAGAGTTTCTATTAAACACACACACACAAACTGAGGAGAGGAGAAAAATAGGAAAGAAACATGTTCAGCAATCTCACTATTTAAATTTTTTAAGTGTCTTTCTGAGTGTTTATTCTCTCTTTTTTTGGGAGGGGGGGCTGTATGGGGGTTGAATTCAGGGGCACTAGGCCAGCCCTCCTACTTTGTATTTTATTCAGAGATAGGGTCTCACTGAGTTTCCTTGCCATAGCTAAGGCTGGCTTTGAATTTGCAATCCTCCTGCCTCAGCCTCCTGGGCCGCTGGGATTATAGGCTTACCCATTGTGTCTGGCCAGAGGGGTTTTTTTTTTTTTTTTCAATTTAGTTTTTAATTATAGTTGGACACAATAACTTCATTTTATTTATTTATTTTTATGTGGTGCTGAGGATCAAACCCAGGGTCTAGGCAAACCCTCTACCACTGAAACATAACCCCAGAGTGTTTTCTCTTTTAATGTAAGAAAAATTATTAGGGATGGTGAAAACTAGTTTTCATTAGATAAGTTGTCTTCTCAATGTTACAAATAGTAGGACTCTTTAAAATATGTGTTTAATAGTGTTCTCCATATCAAATCTACCTTGAGAATGGTATCATTCCCATTTATATGCTATAAATGATATATTTTCGGATATAGTGTATCATTTGGCTAAGAGGACTTTTCTTCCAAAGAAACTAAAGTGGTAACATTTGGCATATGAACCCCTCCTCCATACACTATTGTACTTTTCCCTCTTGGGATATATATGAACTTTACCTACACCTGGTGTTGACAAGTGTACATTCCAATCTTTTCAGGTTTTATAACATTGATCAATGAGAATGGTGTGTGACTCCTTTATGAGACTTTTTTGACATACCCATACTTTTTAAAATAGAAGGGAACACAACAATTTATACTGACTTATATGCTTGCCAAAAACCAAAACAACAACAACAACAATAACAACAAAAAGATTTAGGCAAGTAAAGTAAGTAAATGAGAAGGAGTTCATTTTACAGCCACAATCTTAAGAAAGTCAAATTTTAGTATATATTTAAACTGATGCATTATTAGTTACTTTTGTAAAACAAAATTGTTGATGTTCATATTGAGATGCAGCTAGACCCAGAAGCCACCTCTGAATGACTAAATGAATGTACACCCATGCACATTTTTTGGTTCTGTTGTCATCCCCACAGCAGTTGTCTTCCATATATGGCACCTGCAATTAATCATACTTTCCTTTTAGCCAGAATTTCCATCATAAAATGAGATTGGTTATAAGGAAATTTATTAGAATGATCTAAGTACTTTGAATATAAAGAAGTAAATTTTGCCATTTACCTTCCAAGTGCTAAGAATTTGAAAGGTCCTATTTCCATTTTGTAGAAGGCAAGTGTCCACAAGAGAAATAAAAAAAATTAAAATTTTGTTATCTTTTTGCTCAGTCAAGAGAATCCCCTTTACATTTCAGATACCACATACATTTCTTTTTTTTCCCTTTCAGTACTGAATATAAATTTTAACAAGTCCACAGAATGAACAACCATTACTATAACATTTCCATTTCCTTAAAAAGAAGGCTCATGCCCATTACAATCCCTTTCCATTTCTACTCCCAGTCCTAGGCAACTACTAATCTGTCTCTATCTAGTCAGTTGCTTTGGTGGGGATATTTCATGTAAATGAAATTATACAACAGGAACCTTTTGTTCACTTATTTTTACTGGGAATAATTATTTGTCTATGTAGTAGCATGCATTTGTTTCTTTTTATAGCTGAATAATATTCCACTTTACCAATATTTACCATTTTGCTATCCATTCATCAGTAGATATACGTGAGAGTTTTTTTTAATACTTCTTGGTCATTGTGAATAATGCTGCTGTGAATAGTCATGTCCATGCTTTTATGGAGACATAGGTTTTCATTTCTTTTAGACAAAGTAGGATTACAGAATCATAGCCTGAGTTTATGCCTAACTCTTTGAGGAGCTACTGATCTGTGTCCCAGGTATTTGCACCACTTTACATTTCCACTATCAATGCAGGAAGCTCTCATTTTTTCTACAACCTCATCAACAATTGATTGTTTTTTCTCTTGTTTATTTTAGCCATCATAGCAGGTATCTCATTATGGTTTAAATTTGTATTTTCCTAATGTCTAATGAGGCTGGGCCTCTTTTAATCTATGTAAGGTCCATTTATATAACTTCTTTACATAATATCTATGCAAATTCTTTGCCTACTTTTGTGTCATTTTGTTATTGAGATATAAGGTATCTTCATATATTATTTATATAGGTCACTTATTGTTATATAATTTGAAAATATTTTCTCTCATTCGCTGAGTTATATTTTCACTTTGCTTATATCATTTGAAAAGCAAACATTTTACATTTTGATTGTGTTGTTTATTAATTTCTTGATCACTGTGTTTTTGGTGTTATATCCAATAAATTGTTGCTTGACTCAGGAACATGGACATTTACTCTCAAGTTTCCCTTTAAATAGTTTTAGTTTTTGCATCTGGGTCCGCAATCCATTTTGAATTAATTTTTGTGTGTGGTATAATTTGGGGGTTCATATTCACTTTCACTGAATGAGGATATCTGATTTTCTCAGCACTATGTGTTAAACAGATTTCTTTCTCTTGAATTTTCTGGAAGCTAACAACAAGTGAAGTTATTTCCAGAATTTTAATCCTACTCCACTTATCCACATAATTATCTTATTGCCATTTCAAACTCTGGCATCTATTTAACCTTATAGTTAGTTTTGAAAATGGAAAATGTAAGTCTTCCAACTTTGTTCTTTGTCAAGTCTATTTGGACTCCCTTGCATTTCAATAAGGATCAATTTTCAGCTTCTTAAAAAAAAAAAAGAAAAAGATAGCTGCGATGTTGATAGGGGTTTATTAAATCTGTACATGAGTTTGGGGAATATGTCTTTTAATCCATGAATATAGATGCATCTCCACTTATTTGGGTCTTTTTAAGTTTTTTTTTTTTCACTAAAATTTTATTGTTTTCATAAAGAATTCTGTACTTGTTTGACAAAATTTGTCCCAAAATATTTTATTCTGATTATATTGCATGTGGATTGCAAGTGATATTGCAATTTTTATTTGTAGTTGATTTGAAGGAGTGCCTCAGCTCTGCAGACCTTTTCTACTCACGTCATTCTACTTTGTTTAGTTTTGTTTTCAGATTTTTCATTGCTCGTGTACAGGGATGTAATTAATTTTTGTATGTTCATTTGTATCCAGTTCAGCCTTGCTGAATTCATTAACTTTTTTTTTTTGGTGGGGGAATAGTTATTCAATGGACTCCTTAGGAGATTCTACAAACAAGATTATGTTATCTGTGAATAGAGATAATTTTACTTCTTCCTTCTCAATTTGGGTTTAATTTTATTTTCTTGTGTAATTACCCTGTCTTGTTTAATTACCAGTACAATGTTGAATAGAAGTAGTGATAGTGAACATTATTATATTTTTCTTGATGTAAGAGGAAAGTTTATTCATTAAGTTGGAATTAGTTGCAAATTTTTCATAGATGCCCTTTATCACATTGAGCAAGTTCCCTTAGATTTTTGTCAATTGCTTGTTCAGCATTTATTGAGATTCTCAGGTAGTTTTTGTTCCTTACTCTGTACTGTACTAATGTGTTCTTTGTTTATTCTAGGTCTTCACTTTTGCTGGTGAAGCCTGCAAAAGGGTGATATTTAATGTACCCTCTAAGCTAGAGGCAGACAAATTGATTGGCAGAGGTGAGAAATTGCAAAACAATCTCTTTATGTTTTTAATTTTTTTTAATATGATACTGTGTTTGAACTCAAGGCTTCACTCATGCTAGGCAAGTGCTCTACCACTGATCTACACCCTGAACCCTGCAAAACAATCTTTTAAAAATATAAATTTAGTTTACTCAGGCTTGAAAGGATACAATATACTATCTTTGCCTCTCTGGAATTGGCCTGAATCTAACTGTAAGTATACAAAATTCAAAATTATTTTAAACATTTTCTTTGCTTTTTATGACTCTTTTGGTTCTAGCATAAGTGTTCTCATCCATGTTTTTGTAGTCATTTGTGTTTTAATAGTTTAAAAATTCCACAAAGAATTATACATAAAGCATAATTCTTTCAGTATTCCAGATTTCTAAGCATTAGAGAAATATATATGAAGAGCTGAGAGAATCAGAGCAGTATCTTAATCAGTGCTTTTGCTACATTGAGCAACATAAAAATGTGAGTCATTCCATTCAAAACTAGCTCTGCTCAGAGGGGCTGTCCTAGTAGATGCGGAGAATATTGGAGGGAAGCATCATGACTTTTTTTTTTTTTAAGGTATAGTGTCTTCCAGAGATATCAAATCTTACTTTTTCAACAAAATATTTCATTACTAGTTAAAAACCCTCAGATAACTTTTGTAAACAAATGACAACTTTATTCCTATGGGGAGGAAAAAAACGAATGGATATAGAGAGGTCTGGGGTATTTCTTTAGGGGAATACATCAGAATTTATCATTTGGCTAAAAATGTGAGAATAAGAGAAATATTCACTTATTTTGGCTAAACATCTCCACCTGTGACAGATTCAGATTAAAGTGAAAGTACTACACATACATATATAGTATATGGATCCTTTGGGAGGATTAATTTAATTAATACTCAATTATTAATTTATCTGTCTGGATTCTTCAAAAGTATGTAGATAAAGAATGGGATGAGAACCAGATATATTTATATATTTCCATTATCTTTTACTAAAGGTCAAAATTTCTAGGGAGGGAAGACACCATGTAGAGTTTTTAGTGGGATACCAGAAAGTCAGACCCCATACATACAACCTTGGACTCATGGGGGGAAAGTACACAGAAGAGAGCCAATGGGCAGAATTCAAAGGTTGATTCTTCTTTCTTGACTGTTTGCCTAACCCCATTGTTCTTTGTGCTCATGTGTAAAATTTCTGAGTGAAGACAACTTAAAAGACTTACAGTGTATTGTTAAGGGAAACTTTTCTGTGTGTTTATTCAGGTGTATGTGGGGGTGTGTAGCTCAACTTTGTCACGATTTAAATAACTACTCCTCTTTAATTGGAAGGTCACTTTCATAAGCCTATGAGAAGCTTATTAAGGCTTAAGACACCGTGTTTGATAGAAATATGCAATTGAGAATTATTTTTTTAATTAGAATAACATTTTCTAATAATGTAAGAGGACTAGTTCATATATTTATTAAATATAAAGTGGTTTATATAATTTCACTTCTTGGTGTTCTGGAATATTATAGAAATGATTTTAGTATACTTTTTCTTTTTGTACGTGTTTCTACCTTATAATTTTTTTTTTTATCTGCAGTTGATTTGAAGGAATGTCTCAGGTCTGCAGACTCCATCCAGTCAAATGATCCTGATTTCAGAGTTCTGGATGACGGTTCCGTGTACACAGCCAGGGCCATTGTGTTGTCTAGTGAGAAAAGATCATTCACCATAGGACTTTCTGACAGGAAGACACAGACCCTGAAAGAGATTTATGTGCTCCTGGAACACCAGAAAAAGGTACATCAAATATTTCCAGGCATGATGTTTTTTTTTTTTTTCAGTAAAACACACTCATTAAAAATTGCCAAGAGGACCAAAGGATAAATAGTATATTTTCCTCTCCTTCCTTTCCTCTTCCCGTTACCCTCTCTCCCCTTTTCTCTTTCTCTCCACACCACTACACACTGGCTTTGGTTTTACTCTGTTAAAATCTAAGGGATACCCCCTCTGTGAAGTTTTCTTCCATCTCTAAATTTTGGTTAATGACTTTTATGCCCATCATCAATTTGACAATCGTACTATTATAGCATTGAGGTTTTTTTTTTTTATTAGTGCAAACAATAAAAAAAATCATGATGAATGGGGATGTGAAGGAACTCACAAAATGCTGAAAGCTTAGATCGTGTTACTCCTATTCTATGTTAACTGCACAAATGATAAAGTTGATTAAAATGACTGCTTAGCACTTGACTCAGTGTTTAATATAACTATTTATTTTCATCAAATCTAATGTCTCCCTTGCTATACATCCTGAAATGAAATGAATATCACTAAAATGTCCAATAGAACTTTTCTGTCATGACAGGAATATTCTCTGATCTGCACTGTCTGGTATGGTAGTCCAGTAAAAATGACTACTGAGACATGTGACTAGTGCAGCTGATGGATACAACTTTTCATGTTATTTAATTATAGTTAATATAAATAAGCCCATGGCTAATGATGGCCAGTGGCTACCATATAGGAAAGTGTAGATAGAGTGTTAAGGCAGTGAAGGACACACATATTATTTTTGTGGTTCACATGAGAATGTGAGGCTTTAACAGGAAGAACAGATAAGTGCTGTGCAGAGTGAGAGGGTTCTTTTTGTTTTGTTTTATTTTTGTTTGCCATGCTGGGATCCAATCCAGGGCCTTGAGCATACTATGAAAGTGCCCTATTGCTGAGTTTCACACCCTCACTTCCTACTGATGGTTATAGAGAGGATGCATTCTCTATTTAGGCCAGAGTAGAACTAAGAGTATAGTGATTTTCCTAACCTATAAGTATGGTCAGCACTGGGAAGGTATGCAAAGGAAATTCTCTAGTCAAGAAATCTTTAATATCTGTATACATTCTTGTACTTATAATGAGCAAAGATTTATTAATTGGTTTTAACTTGAGCATGGAAATTCCTATTCGAATCTCTAGAGAGACTTTATGTTTATAGGCTGCCCACCATTTTACAATAAAGCAGACTGTGATGCTTTTGTTTATGTATTCTTTCTTTAAATTCAGATGTTGAAGAAAAGACACACTAAAGAAACTGTTCTCAGGAGAGCCAAGAGGAGATGGGCACCTATTCCTTGTTCAATGCAAGAGAATTCCCTGGGCCCCTTCCCTCTGTTTCTTCAACAAGTAGGTCTATATTTTTTCTGTTTATGAGTGTTTTATTTATGAGAGTCTTTTTTGTTCAGGTTTAGAAGGTCATAGTAAAGACAGTAGAATGAATCAGACATAAATTTTCTATGTTCATAAATGAATATACTACCAGTGTAATTCCACATCGTGTACAACCACAAGAAAAGGATCTGAATTAGATCTAAGTTATACTCCGTATATGTCTAGCACGTCAAGATACATCTCTACTATCACATATATCTAAAAAGAACACATAAATAAATAAATTGATTAAATATGTTTATGAAGTATAATAAAAAACAAAGTCAAAAAGTTATTAAAATACTGATGATATCAGATGGACTCTATAGCCATTGAATGATCTTTATTCACTTATTCATTCATTTAGCAGATAGTTACTGAGCACCTACTATGTTCTGTGGCAGGCATTGCTTTAGGTATTAAAGATGGAAACAAGTTTAGTCTTGGCCTTTGCTCTGTGTAGTTCATTGACTTAGCAAAAGGAGGTAGAAATAGATAAATGATTATAACTCCTGGTAAGGACTTCAATGTCAGAGATATAACCATTAGAGTTAGCTGGTAATGCATGTGTTAAACACCAAGTCCTCAGATCAGGTATTGAAAACAAGAAAGAGCTCAAGGGAAGAGTTGTTTGAATTGAGACCTGAAGGATGGGACAGTTCTGTGCAGGTAAATAGTTGTGGAAGAAGAGGGAAGTAGAGGGAAGTACAGAGATGAGAGGAATGAGAGCAAGCCTGGCCCCTTAAAGGAGCACTGGAGCACTGCTCCCAGGCATGATAAGGGTGGAGCAGAGGGAAGGGGCAGAAACAGCAGGTATGTATCAAAGCTCGAAAAGCCCTGTGCATTTTCCTAGGAAGTTCCACTGCATCTTAAAATCAGGGAGACAGTTTAAGCAGTATAGAAACAGGATCAGGTTTAAACATGCTCTATATGGAGCATGGTTATGAAAGCAATTGCTGAAGTAAGTCTATGGCCTCGTGCTTGTTTCTTTGTCCCTTAAATTTCTTTACTGCGATTGCTTTTTAAGACTGTTGTGATCTGTGTGCCACTTATTTAACTTTTCAATATTCTGTTTTTATTTTTTTCTAAACAAAAATTATTTTTTAGTTTTTTAGGTAGACACAATTTTTATTTTTATGTGGTGCTGAGAATTGAACCCAGTGCCTCATGCATGCTAGGCGAGCATGCTACCACTTGAGCCACATCCCCAGTCCCCCACTCAGTTTTTGTTCTACCCAGCACTTGACCCTTTCTTCTTCCTCAATGAATATCTTACCTTAAACAGTGATGAGGCATGTTGAGAAATGACTCCTGATTATTGACGTTATCCTGATCATAGATAGTTTTAGTCACTGCATTACTAAACCTCTCTGTCCTTAATTCCTTCTAGCAAACCATTCAACCAGTTATCCTGGTGATTGTTGGATTCATTAATTTGACTGTGGTAATCATCACACGATATATATCTATAAGGGCAACTCATCATGTTGTATATACAATATTTATTTTCAAAAAATTTAATTAAAAATACTTAAGTTTTTAAGTGTCTAATTTTTTAAAAAAATCATTTAAAAATTATCAATGTTACTCTTTTTGATAGTCATCAATGACTTTCTATCTTCATTTTCTACAAGGAAAATCTGGCTTCCTTGGAATCACCTGCCTGATGTGGCCCCTCTCATCTCATTACTGGCTAATCTCCTACTCTCCTCCTGGCTTTTCTGCTCCAACAATAGTGGCTTTTTTTTGCAGAACTTTGAACACTCTGGGGACTACCCTAGCCTGATTCCGTTGTACTTCCTGTTTTCTCTGTCAGGAAGAATCTTCCCTGTTTTTTCTTATAGCTAGCTCATTCTTGTAATTTTGTGAGCTCCTCTCTCTAGTGTACATTTCAATTCCCCCACCAGTATGGGAGATCCTGTTTGCCTCAACCTTGTGAACAATGGGTATTATTTTTCTTTTCTATTGAATTCTTCTCTTTAAAACAAAAAATATATATGAATACATCAGCTGAATTTTTTAAAGATAGCATTTTAATTTTAATTTCTCACATATACATTTTTCCCTTGTAGGTTCAATCTGATGCAGCACAGAATTATACTGTCTTCTACTCAATAAGTGGGCGTGGAGTTGACCAAGAACCTTTAAATTTGTTTTTCATAGAAAGAGACACTGGAAATTTGTATTGCACCCGGCCCGTGGATCGTGAGGAATATGATGTTTTTGATGTAGGAATTTTATTGAGAAATATGACTTTATTTTTTTATTAAATTGTTCTTCCTTTAGTACTCCACCTACTCTTTCTTATCTTCTTGCACTCTATCTTAGAGGGTATCTTAAAATCAAAGGAACATAGAGTGTGCCATAATTTGGAATGCTTGGTCAATATTTCATCTTAACTTTTGTTAGGAAATCCTGAAATGAAGCAAAGGAATTTAATTATATTTGAATGTAAATTCCAGTACCTTTGGAGGAATTTGGTTTTGTTTATGAGATACTTTCTCTGGTCACTGGTACCTTTTCTTCTCTCCAGTACTTGTCCAGAGTTCAAATAGATCCTACTTCTCTACTGCTTTACATTTTTGTTTTCTTTCCACATTTATGACTTTGTAATCCTGTCTGAAAATTAGATGAAGAAATAAAAGTGAAAGAAATAAAACCAAGCTCAAACAAAGGCTAGTAAACAAGCATTCTGATAGAGAAAAGCTTGTAATCAAAGACAAATAAGTCAGACAATTTTCATTGTAATGTGGTAAATACTGTGTATGATGATTTGGGGGTTCATTAATTTGACTGTGGTAATCATCACACAGTATATATCTGTATATTCTCCCTGGTGGGTAGGAGGAAGGATTCCCTATTGGAAACAGAGATTCTGTTTTTATAGGCGGAAAGAGTTTCTGGGCCAGCAAACGTGGGAGACATCCCCCATATAATATACTTTACTTTTGCTTAGAAAATGTTCAACTCAGTGAATACAGTATATTTCTATAAATAGAGTGTATTTCTATACAGACTGAATAGAAATACATTTTATTTGACCATATATTGCCTTTGGTTAATTAGCAATGGAGAAATTAGTAAGTGTATTTTGTTAGAAAAACTCTAGCAAATATGTGATCTATAAGGTAAAATAATAAAAGGGCTTAAAATGGAAAGATTGGGAATTATTACTTTATGTAAATCACATAGTGGGGATTTTTCCCATTGCAGTGACATTATTTATTCTTCCAATGTGACTTTATGATTATAGAGAAAGTAAGGTCTATAATCCAAGTTATTATAGCCCAAATAATGCCTCAGAACAGCATACAGAGTTCCCGATTTTGCTATATTCTGACCTAGGTTTTATTTGAAGTGAAGCCATTTCTACCAAATACTAAAATTTCTTTGCTATAAAATGTTTCTCCATTTGGTGCTTTGATCTAAACAGCATCAAATACAAATCTTTGAAATTGTTGCTGAAAATATTTGCAGTGAAAATAGTTGATAGAGCATCCTATCCTTTTGCTCTAATTGATATTGACTTTTGAAGCTACTTTTCCTGTTTTATAGTTGATTGCCTACGCATCAACTGCAGATGGGTACTCGGCGGATTTACCTCTTCCACTACCCATCAAAGTGGAGGATGAAAATGACAACCACCCTATTTTCACAGAAACAATTTATAATTTTGAAGTTCCAGAAAGTAGTAGACTTGGTAAGGCTGTTTCTATATTAAATATGTTTGTGTGCATTTTGGAGACATTGATTTTTTTTTTTTAATACTCATGGCCAGGTCATTGTGAGGTAACACTAGATTAGTACCTACTTATTAGAAAACTTTTATTCACATTCTATTAACATGTATCTTACCAGGTGTTTCAGTAATCTTTTTAGCATTGTCAATGTGACACTAATGGACTATAATGGCAGCCAACAGTTATTCAAGCTTTGTATCATATTTGACTTATGTATTTTATTTCATTTTCTTATTATGTGGGTTTATTACTATTGTCACCTCCAGGGGGAAATGAGCAATAAAACTAAAAAGTAGTGAAGATTTTTAAATGAGGTTTCATATAGAGAGGTGTTAAATGACATCCACTGAGAACACAATTTTTTAAACATTTTTTTGTAGTATCTCTTCTTTCAAAACTACTACTTCAATACTTCCAATTTAGAATGAATACTGGAATAACATTAGAAAAAGTTACATAATGCATTCCCCATCCTAAACACTCTCACATGTGGAAAATCAAAGTATTTCAGTTTACTTGGCCCCTAAATGTAGCATTCATGATGTCTTCTGAGACTTGTAAAATGAAGAATAGGTATCCTGTAATAAAGTTGAAAGAATGTGCACCCCATCATGAAGGGTGACTTTTCTAACTCATCTATTAAGTTTTCTCAGGGTCACTTAGATTTTTGCAGCATTATTTCAATTATTTTTCCTCTTTATATTTTTCTTTGATAATTTGTTGTCATCAATGTAAACCTGTTTATTATCTACATGTACAATTAAAAAACACAACGATCATTGGTTTGGAGTTTAGAAAACAGAATTTTTCATGGCGGTTCTCTCATGAATTCATGAGAACTCAGGGAAGTTACTTTGAGTTCTCTCACTTGTAAAAAGAGCTAATTACATTAGATGATCAATACTGTTTTTTAGCTTCACAATTCTATGACTCTGTTTCATTTTTCCTTTCTCAAAAATAGAGAAAACAGTTCCAGAATTTTTATATTGAGGATTCTGCTTTTTTTTTTTTTCAGTAGCAGTAGAGAACCTAGGGTGAATACTTTGATGCCACCATCAACACCTGGTTCTTGAAGTAATCACATCAGGAGATTTATGCCATTTAAGGCTTTCATACTAAGAAGTTGAAAGAAAATGAATCAGAGCTTAGAAAACAACAACAAACAAATCATAAAAAGGAAATACTGGGCAATTGGACTATTAAAGGTCAACCTGACTATCTATATGATCTTATTCTAAATAGCCCTTAGTTTAGCACTTACTTAATCAAGAGTTTAATTTGCAAAAATCTGAATTATTTAGGAGACATGGTTTATTCTTCCAGCTAGGTTTGTTATTGCAAAGTATAAGAGTATATATTGAAATAATTTTTATTGCCATTTTTTAGTAATGCATTATCAAGCATTTTAAATTGTAAGCAAAATACAAGCTGATTCTCAGCATTAAAATGTTTTATTATTCATATAAAGTCATCTTTATTAATTCTATGTAAAGAGAATTACCTCTGGTAAGAAATACATTTTGAATGAGGAGTTCACCATCACTCTTAAAGTTTGAAAAGTATAGATACTTCTAAACATGTTTTGCAATTGTGGAAATTAAAAGTTCTTTTTTTTTTTTTTTTTTTTGGTACCAGGGATTGAACTCAGGGGCACTCAACCACTGAATCACATCCCCAGCCCTGTTTTGTGTTTTATTTAGAGACAGGGTCTCACTGAGTTGTTTAGTGCCTCACTCAGTTGCTGATACTGGTTTTGAATTAGCAATCCTCCTGCTTCAACCTCCTGAGCCACTGGGATTACAGGTGTGCGCCACTGCGCTGGGCTTAAAAATTCTTTTAAATGCACAGGTACAACAGTGGGAGTGGTATGTGCCACAGACAGAGATGAACCAGACACAATGCACACACGTCTGAAGTACAGCATTTTGGAGCAGAATCCGAAATCACCTGGGCTCTTTTCTGTGCATCCCAGCACAGGTGTGATCACCACAGTTTCTCACTACTTGGACAGAGAGGTAATAGCCACATTTTGCAGAATGCCATTTTACTGGGAGTTGAGCGCCTTTTGCTCCTTTGCTATAATTTGTTATCCTATGGATTAAGAATTTATTAATTTATTACAGTTTTAAGACAATAAGGATTCATTGCATTTTTTCTGTCCTTTACATTCTATTTCCTTGTCTGTGGTTTCTTGGTCCCTGTTCAATAAAGGCTCCAGTTCTCAGGTAGGACAATAAGTTTTGCTTATTTCATGCATATAGATCATAACTTGATCCCTCTTCAGTTATTATAGATGTACATACTTTTTATCAGAAAAGGATCAGTTCAGATAAAGGTGTTGAATCATTAAAATTCTGTAACACTATTTCAATGATATTAATAGTATATTGTCATTCATATAGTAATTTCTGCTCAAATTATTTATGCATAGATTTATGTGGTTTTTGTAATTTCCTTGTTTGACTAGATAGGTGCTATGTCTAACCTATAGAGGAGAAATGTCACGGTCAGAAAGACTGAATTGACCAATTCCAATTATTTCACAGAAACTTCCAATCTTTTGTTTTTACTGTTTCTCTGTCCACTCTGTCAGGCTACATTTAAATCAGAATTATATCTCATTAACTGAGACAAAAGAATCAATTTCATATCTATAAAATAGCTTTATTGGAACACTTCAATGATCCCTATTATGAGAATAAAATAAATAGTAGGGTTGACATGCTAAGGAGATTATGAAAGAGAAATCAATGTAATTGACACCAAAGACATAAGAGAATCTATAGAAAGGAATTGAATGTAATCTAAAAGTTGTAGTTACCATCATTTTAATTTTTTCAGGATTGGAGCATTTATGTGGTAAAGCACATAACGATAATAACAAATAAGAAAGATTGAAAGGGATAATGTGAATGTTTTTGTATCTTTGGTACATGTACAGTTAACATGGCAATCAAGCAAGACAAGGTTTTCCCATTTATTGCAAATGGAAATAGATGATGTTTAGAAATATTAACTATTTTAAGATTATAAAATGTATTTGTTCCAGTTTAGGGGAAATCCAGGTGTGTTTGCCTCATGTAAAAAAAATAATCTATTGGAATTTTGTGTGGAACAGTCGGAGTGTGTTGTAGAGAACCACACAGGAACTAAAGAAATGAATAAGGGAGAGAAAGAGACTGAATTTAGGTGAATGGAAACACAGTGTATCAGACAGTCCTGAAGTTTTGGGGAGGGACATTGTATAGTGGGGATTTCCACTGTGGAAAGGAAACTGGGCAAAATGAAGACTGAGGGATGAGAGAGAGCACAGGATCCAACAAAGAAACCAACAGAAGGCCAAAAATGAATAAAATAAGAGGCTACAATGATGAATGTTTCACAATCTAATGAATTAATTTCACATCACCACACCATGTGCAGAAGTCAACAGTGGCTTCCTAATTGTTCAATCCAACAGTTATGTCTCTGCTTCTAGTTGGCACTTATGAAAACTGTCTTCCCTTGGATTTCCGGTTCCCCTCATTTCACTGATCTTTCCTTTTTAACGTGCTTTGCATTGACTTCTTATTTTCTCTATGCTTCAAATGCTATTGTTCCTCATGTCCTCAGCTCTTCTCATCCTGTACTGTCTCCTGGATAATCTGATTCCCACCACAATTTCAACCACTCTCTACATAATGATGATGCCCAGGTTGGTATTTCTGCCCATGATCTCTCCATTAAGTATGGAGACATATACCCAGGTACTTCTAAATTTCTTTCATTCAATTTACCTTAGGCACGCAAAATTCAGTATTTGTAAAATAAAACTCTTATTTTTATCCCTTCACTCTATAGTTCACACTTTCAGAGAACTGTCTCTCTTTCTGCATCTCCAGCATTGGCCAGTCATATTCCTGTCCACCTGTCCAAGTAGACACTTATGCATCATACTTAACCAGTTCTCTCTTTTCTTCTTAAGTTGTATATGGAATCTACTATCAAGTCCTACTCCATTGTAATTCCCAAGTGCTTTCCTGTTACCCTTTCCTCTGTCCCTATTGCTTCTGCCTCAGGTTTGGACACCAGCCTTAGGTTATTGTAGTTTGTGAGTGAGCTCATTTAGCTTACTCCAAATTATGCTCAATCTTCTTTAAGACTCTTCTTTCTAAAACTCAAATGTTTCTACATTGCATTTTCTCTGCTTCCCCTAAAACTTTCCCCTATTGTCTGTTAAAACATAAACCTAAGTTCTTAGTATGTCATTGTAATTTAACCTCTGCCTACGTTTTCAGTTTTACCTTTCTCTACCAGATTCTTAGAATATATGGAAGTACAGAAATCAAATTAAAGCATGAAAATAGAAAAGGGTACAATTGAGGCTTCCTTTATGAAATTAAACAAAAGTATCTAAGATTAAGCATTGGCTTTGTTTTCAGGTTATAGACAAGTACACATTGATAATGAAAGTCCAAGACATGGATGGTCAATTTTTTGGATTGTCCAGTACATCAACTTGTATCATAACAGTAAAAGATTCAAATGACAATGCACCTACTTTCAGACAAAATGCTGTAAGTATATAATATAAAAATCTGTCCGTCTTGTCTCTTTTTTTTTATTAATCTGAATTAATAAAATATTTTTCATACTTTGAAACACATGTAATTCATGAATAATGTTAAAATTTATGTACATTATATAATACTTTCATTTATTAATACTATAGTATTTATATGATCTACCTCATAGGCCAATGACATTCTAGTCTTCTCATGTAGGGAAGTTCTTTTATTTAAAAGATAACATTGAATGAAATAGTTCTACTTATGATTCATGGTCTTAAAATAATCTATAAGAATAAATGTTTTTTTTTTTTGTGTGTGTGTGTGGTATGTTTAACTACTGAACCACATCTGAGCCCCTTTTAGTTTTTGAGACAGGGTTTCACTAAGTTGCTTAGGGCCTCGCTAAGTTGCTGAGGCTGTCTTTGAACTTGGGATTCTTGTGCCTCAGCTGCCTGAGCTGCCGGAATTACAGGTGTGTGCCACCATGCCTGGTGCCCAGCTAAGAATAATTATTTTTAAAGAGGAGGAAACATTTTACTTTCTTTGTAAAAATTTTCTTTACAAATCAAATTTTTAATGAATTCTGTTTCTTTCAGTATGAAGCAACAGTAGATGAAAATACATATAATGTGGAAATCTTACGAATACCTATAGAAGATAAGGATTCAATTAATACTGAAAATTGGAGGGCTAATTTTACCATTTTAAAAGGAAATGAAAATGGTTACTTCAAAATTAGCACAGACAAAGCAACTAATGAAGGTGTTCTCTGTGTTGTAAAGGTACAGTAACAACAATTTATTAACAATGTGGAAGCTTCACATATTTTTATCAGCTTATGGTTTAATCAACTATAAGTAGTTTCAGATCATGGACTCTACCAGCTCAAAGAGAACTTAAACCTATTTAGTCTGGCTCTTCCTATTTGAGGCCTGCCTATTCTGTAATTTTACTGCCAGTTACTAGTCTCAGAGCATATGCTTGAATATTAATTATCAGGATCTCTATATCTCCATTGGCAAATTATTCTATATTTGGAGAGTTCTGATTCTCAGAAATTATTACTCCTATTATGCACAAATTATTCTCCTTATAATCTATGTCTTTCATCCTGATTCTACTTCTAATGCTATTGAGAACTCATACAAATTTTGGAAAATGCTGCCATATCTCTTTTCTAGGATATATTCCTAATTCTTTTAATCCTTACATAATATAAGTTAGAATCACACTTCTCATTATTTATATATAGTTACATCTGCTCCTTTAGGGGCAATTTTGAAGTTTAAGTATAGTAGCATTTCAGACAGCACAGAATAAACTTATTTTTTGTTCTATATATTGCACATTTGGTAGAACTGCTACATTCTAGGGCTCAGGTTTTAAGAAAGGATGGGCTCTGTTTGAAAAGGATACTGGTTTTATATTTCTAGACAAGAACAAAAAAGAGTAGGTCATTCACTGTATGAAGGAAATAATGTAGTGCAATAATATAGTGGCATCTTGGTTACATAGACCTATTTGTAGTTGTTTTCTTTTTAAGAGTTTTCAGGGATGATATACTATGGCAAGTTCTATCCAGACGTGAACAGTCAAATATATTCAAACTTCTCCCTTTTTCAGTTTGAATAGTAAACACCAGCTACTTTTAAAAAATTAAGCTTTATATTAAGAATAAAATAAGAAGAAATAAGAAAATGTTGTTAATTATTTTTTTCTGCCTTACTGGTCCATCCTGTACTTGGACTCTCCAGAAAACCAAGTCCAAAACAATATAGATAGATATTTAGAAAGAGAATCCCTGGAAGCCAGAGTGAAACAGGCAAATAAGACAAGGAAGGATGAAAGCCAATCACGTCTGAATTCTTGGGTGTTCAAGCATTCAAGAAAATTTTTAGACTGTACCCCAGAATTACCTGTTCAAAGATGGTCACCCTAGGCATTTACCCATTACCCCCATCCTTAGATCACTCCCCTGCACTCTGGGCTGGGCAGTGCCTGCCATTTGTCAAAGGAACTTTCTGGCTTCGGAGGAAATTCTGAGTCTGAAGAGCTGAATCTTTGGTGTTCCAGATGTGAATCAGTGTAAATGAGCTCTGTCCACCACAGCTGTGGCTGAACTTAAGGGTGGATTGAAGGGTTGTGGTGTATAATTTTTTTTTTTTTTTTTATAAAAAGTGTTGTTATGCATCTAGTGCAGTTTCCAAGGCTGGAGACTTCTGTAGTACAGGAATTTGATTCAAAATTGATGTAATTGCAAATATTTTCCTTGCATCTCCTTTTCCTCCCTACCACACACATCTTTTTTTTTTTTTTTCTTCCTGGAAATAAGTCAAAGGAGTAGTCTGAGATCTAGAGTGGATAGTTTATGCCACCTGAAGTAAGAGACCCAAACTCAGAACTTTGAAAGTGCTCCCAATCTGCTTCTCTGTCAGAAGGCAACTCTTTAGGTTTCCCTCATTCAAGGCCAGTACTCAAGGCCCATTTGAAGAAACTGTATCATAAACATTATTATTATTATTATTATTTAAAAATCTCGATGGTTTTGTTTTGCTTAGGGAAACAAAATTTAAATAGCATTAAGAATTAAAAATTTTGACCAATTAAAAATAATCTCTAGTAAACTTTCTCAAAAAATGCATTTTAAAAGAACCTCATCACTGAGTATAGGTAAATATATTCAGTATGTCTTTTTTCCCAAGGAGTACTGATCACAGATATTAAAGTTTTTGTCCAAATTTATTTGGAAATTATAGCCTAGATCCTGAAATATTTCTGATTCCAAGTGAGTGGTAAACATCAGTTTCACTTCTTATGAATGTCTTATTGTATTACACTGCAGGAGTCCCCAGAATGGACACTGATTAGATGACATACTTTCCTATTCTGTCTCTAGTTCAGTTTACTTAAATTTCATATATGAAAAATATAAAACATTCTCTGCCCAATAGTATTTATTTTCATTATTTTTTATCATAATATAGTCCAACTTTTATTTAACAATTTTATCTTAGCTATTACTTCTAGTAACTACTTTTAGTATTTCAAGAATGTTAAAAGTAGTTGCTATGAACCAGGCACACTGTATATCATGGGGAATGATACTAGGTCCTTTATGTATGTTATATCTAATTGTCATATCCCCTTTGGGACTAAGCATTATTTTCTTCAATTTATAATAACATCAACAAAAACAATAATAACCTGGGCTGATGGAAGTAACTCAATTCCCAAACATTGAATATACTGTAATTATCCAGCTTGGAATACAGACCTGGTTAATATTGTTCCAAAGTCAATGATCTCTCTATTACTTCCAGTCTTGCCCCATTAAGCCCACATAGCACTCTGTATTCAATATATGATAGTGTCCATTTGCTGCTTCTTATTGCAGAATCCAATTATATTCTCACATTCACAACTGATAGTAAACCAACAGTTGCAATAATGACTAATATTTTTTATTCCCTGAGTGCAAGACCTCATGTCAAGTGTAGTATCTTATTTGTTTTAGATGTCAATAGATAATTAACTTATAATTAACATGTCTTTCATTTTTAATTTAAGTTTTGAGTAAGAAGCCCATTCAGAAGTACAAAAGTAAAAGTGTGTAATAAAAAGTAATTTACCCAGGTCCCCCAACACTCAGTTCTTGGAAGAATCAATAAATGTGTTACCCATTTATTGATATTGTTTCAAAGGCATTTTATGTACATGCAATTGTGTTTAAGGAATTTTACCATGTTTCTTTATTAAGCATGTATTAACATATCTCTGAAATTATTATATTTCTCACTCTGATATTTCATGGTATGAACACAGTATTTTGAAGTAGATAGAATAGAAGGGGCTGGACACCTGAGGAATTTTCAAGAAGCATGTTTATTGACAGCAGGATTCAGAGGTGGCTCTGGCCTAAGAATTCTTCCTCTGAACAATGAGTGTAGAAATTCTTTGAACTTTATACCCAGTGAACGGGGCTGGGGTAGGGGTGTGTGTGTGGGGGGGGAGTACACAGAGGTTTCACAAGTTTGTTTGCTTTTTTTCTGCACACCTGGCATTTATAAAAAAGAGGAAACTACCAACCACAGTGCCCTTCTGCATGCAGAAGTTTTTGCTGATAGAAAGCTTTCTGAAGAAGAAGAATTTATATGTTACAAATATAATGGGGGTTTCTGTTTAATTATGGCAAGAGTCTTCTGGGTGGGGGTTTCTGGCCTGCTTCAGTATTTTTAACCTGTTCCCTCTCCATGAATTTAGATCATATCATTCTTTATTCAACAACTTATCTCTGAGAAAATTACCTATTAGATATGATGTTTTCATCTTTAATAGCTATATGTTATAGATTTTATAGTATAATACTCATATAACATGAATATAAAATGTTTTATCAATTCCTATAAACTGAAATTTAGGCTTATCAATGGGAATTATAATCTCTTTTGTGAATTCAAAATTTTCTACAATGAATAGCCATGTATACATATCACTTTACAATAATGGAAGATAAATTTATAGAAATGGAATCACTTAATTAAGATAATTTCTATTTTTTATGTGATAAATTAAATTTTTAATGTTCTTTTCTTGTTGAGGTTTTTTTCCTAATATCTATAGGAAAATTATCTATAGATAATTTATATCTAGGATTTATGTCCAAATCCACAAATGAGAGATTTGCTTATAGTTTACTTCTTTTGTATAATTGATGTTTTTTTACTATCAATTTTATGCTTGTTTCATTAAAATAATATATCTATTTTTCTTTTTTCCATGCTTTGAAAGAGTTTTAAAAAACTCAAACACCATTGAATTAAAAAAAATGTATTTCATGTTCACAGCAACACCAGGTGATTCTTACTCTCCCTCCTCCCATTTCCAGATGAGGAGACAGAGACAAGTAATATATTATAATTCATAGGTGCCTAGGACAGATGATTTGTCCCCTGAATTTAGGTCATCACATGTGTAATTATCCAGGACAGATAGCTCTGTTTTTATATTCAGAATGCCAACCCAGACCTTATGAAGGCAGGGTCCTTATTCATAATCCCTGTGCTGTTCTTCCAGCTGGGTACACTTGTGTTACTTGGCTTGATAAAGCAACACCTTCATTGGCATCAGGGTATCTTCTTTTATTGGAACTTTGATTCACTTCTATTTTTCTGGGTTTGATTTTTAAATAATCACCTTCTGTCCTTATCAGCTCCTTTGCTAAGCTTATTCATTTTTAATCTGAGTTAAATGCTATTTTTTAACATTTTGATCAATAAAAATTGTATTTGTCATATTATGTCTCCTTTCCATATTTATGGAAAATCTTAGAAAACCTGAATTTATTGGAGTTCCTTTAGTAGCCACATTGGATTTAAAAGTATCAAATTCTTTTCCTTGGAAAATGTTTGAGACTGTGTAGTTGTACCTTTAAACTCAAGTGAGACATCTTCTATTTTTTACCAGTGCATTTGAAATTCATCTTTAAGTCTGGTAGCCTGTCTTCCAATGAGGATTGACCTCCTTGTTGGTGAAATATGCAGTGTTCTTCTCTACTCTAAGGGAATTCTCCTTTTCCAGTGTTCTGGTTTTTACTTTTGAGAATCATGTTCAGGAAAAATGCACATTTTTCTTTTTCTTTTATACCTGAAGGATTAAGTAATCAGTAGAGTAAATTAAGAATTGTTCAGTTATATTTCTTTTGCTTAATAAATTAATAAAATGCAAACATTGTTTTTTGTTAGTTTATCTTATTATTGCCTTATAGCATTTTGACTGTTAACAACAGCAACAAACACATCACTATTCTCTCAATTTTCCTGCATAATACCTGGTTGTAAGGACAGGTTAAAAACAATTTAATTTATCAGTTTTGATTTCGTTCAATGTTTAGCCAGTGGTTGTACTGATAAGCAGAAAGAGAATCAGAGAAAGTATGTTTTAACTTTACTGTGTGGTGGAAAATAGTGTAAAGCACTTACTGTACATTAAAGCAATAAATGTCATTCTTAAACCAACTGAACAGACCAGAAAGTTTAGGATAGGAAGCTGTCCCAAAGTCACTTAGCATAGATGTATTACAGACAAGGTTTGGACATATGTCTATGGTTCCAAGCATGTGCTGTTAAGCATTATGTTAAGTTGCTTCTCTTTGTTGTGACCTTGGAAAGTTATCTTTGTATTATCTGTAAAATGGAAATAATGCTTCTCTCTGCCTAACTAATAGTTACTCAAACACAATGAAAGTGAAAGCACTTGGTGAACTATAGAATTTTATTATTTTATTCTAAAAAGTCATACCATATTCTTGGGACCAATGTTACACTTTTCCATAACAGATGACTTTTCTGTAACTATAGTATGAGCTGACTGTGCCTTTATCTGAGTCCTGGAAGATCTCTCCACCTCAGTGTTTTCTTTTCCTGTCAGGGCCAACAATAATGCATATGGATTTGAGTGAGGACAGCATTGTTCTTCATCATTCTCAATCTGGATGGCTCTCAGTTCCATCTCCGCTAAAATACATGTCCTAAGGAGTTACTAAAATTTCAGGGAAGATATGGGATATTTTTGAGCAATTCTTATTTTTCCATTGGTGCATTATAATTAGACATAATAGAAAATTCATTCTGCTGTATTTGTACATGAACATGAAGATTTTTTTTCAAATAATAAAACAAAAACACTGCTGGTGGAAGAGAATTTACCTTTTTTCATTAGTCATTGAGATTCAGCCTACCAGATTTCATATCTTTTGCAGAGTTTTAAGGAACTAAGGTAATATCCAACTTAAGCCTTGAAAAATTACCTGAAGAAACTGTAAGCTTAGCAAGATTTTCTGGATCACATAACTGCCCCTCTACTTGTGCAACATTGCCAACAGTTGCCCTTCCACTCTGCATGGGCCTGCCATCATCTATAATTTGTTGAGATGGAGTTCATCAGCATCAAAAAGAAAATATTAGCCTTCTTTTCTTCTTGACTTTATAGTGTCTGGGATATTCATAAAAATAAAAAGCTTCACCTATGTTTTATGTATTGTATAATTCAAAAATTTTCTTGATTTCTTAGAGGGTTCATGATTATCAATCTCTCATTCTGTTAATACCTGGTTGTAAGGACAGGTTAAAAACAATTTAATTTATCAGTTTTGATTTTGTTCAATGTTTATCCAGTGGTTGTATTGATAAGCAGAAAGAGAATCAGAGAAAGTGTGTTTTAACTTTACTGTGTGGTGGAAAATAGTGTTTTAAGGGTTTTGCTGGATTTACTACCTAAAAATCAATTACTAAGGTGTTGACTTAAAAATTGACAGAGGCTAGTGAACCAATTAAGCAGCTTAGTTTAGCAGAGGGATTATAGCCAGCTGGTTAAGGAAAAAGACTTGAACCAAAGAACCTGATTTCAGATTCCAGCTCAAACACATACTTTTGGCTTTAGGAAAATCAGTTTATCTCTCTCTTTTCCAGTTTGCAGCTCTGTAAAATGGGGAGGATGATAATACCTACCCCACGAGAGTATGAGGATTCAGTATATTTGTCTTCACTTCTTAGAAAAGGGGTGTGTATTTAACAAGTGCCATTAAGACCTCGTGTTTCTTTGACTCCTTTCTGTTTCCTCTATCAGAATTTCGCTGGAAAAACTAACTATAGACAATGCCAATGTATTATTCTCCGATTGTCAAAAACATAATTTGCATAACTATAGGTAGTAAGGGAACCAACAAAAAGACAAAGTAGACTCCTAGGAAGTAATGAGACCCTGGATGGATTTGATCAAAGAAAAAGCTGCTATGAGATGCCTTAGTTAAAAGCCTTATAGGGAATTAAAGCAGACATTTGGACTATCTCATCTATCAGACAGAAAATAAAATCATTGTACCTTTTGAGTTTTGTTGAAGTTAATATCTAACTTTAGAAGAATTGTCAAATGCCTGGGTCCCCAAGTCAGTAGGAAACAGTCACAGTTGCTTTTCCCTAGAAAGTTAGGTGACTCCTAAGGCCAGTCTGCTAAATATTGTCTTCATTTTATGGTATTTCCATATTTCAGGACAGTTTTCCTTAGTAAGAAAGAAATAAAAGAAAGTTTTCCTTAGTAAGAAAGAAATATAGAATTTCTTTCCTACAATTTTATAAAACTACCTACATAAAGTTTTGGATGAGTCTTACCAAAGGCTTTTTAGCTCAAAATCACCTCTGTCCTTAACAAGGGATAGAAGTCAATATTGAAAAAAAATGTGAGAATGAACTTATTGTTCATATTGACAAAAGTTCACTTGCTGTTTGAAATATCAAATGTATTTTACACTGATGTGGATACATCTGTTTTTATTTTTATTATAAAGCCACTGAATTATGAAGAAAATCATCAAATGATCTTAGAAATTGGAGTAAACAATGAAGTTCCATTTATTAGAGATATTGCAACCAGAGTACCCACCATGAATCGAGCTTTGGTTACTGTTCGAGTGAAGGATCAGGATGAAGGGCCTGAATGTAACCCTCCAGCTCAGTATGTGCGAATTAAAGAAAACTCAGCAGCGGGGTTAAAGGTCAATGGCTATAAGGCATATGACCCTGAAACTAAAAATAGCAATGGCTTAAGGTACAAAGAAATCTATAATCATTTATTAATAATACATTTGTCACAATTGAAATAATTTCTTATTTTAAAACATATCACGATGCCAGAGTTTATTCTTATTTTTTTTAACAGATACAAAAAATTGCATGATCCTAAAGAATGGATCAGCATAGATGAAATTTCGGGATTAATAACAGTTTCCAAAGTCCTGGACAGAGAAGTTATGGCTCCCAGAAATGATGTTTATAATGTTACAGTCCTGGCAATAGACCAAGGTAAAAAAAAAAAAAATCTAGTGTTTCATAAAGGAATGGAAGAACAAACTACAATTATTCCTGTGCAGAATTATTTTTGTGATAAGCATATGCAATTCTTAGAAATTATCTTAAAGACTGTTCTTATCTGTCTTAATCATCTAACAAGGTGAAACTGCTTAGCAACAGAAACCCATCTCTTATTTATCTGTGTATTCTCAAGATGTATGACAGGACCTCAACTGCTTATGTGGTTCTCTATGTTAAAGGACAAAGATAAAATTTAAATCTAGAACTAGATAAAACAGACTCATGAGATTCCTCCAGGTCTCTTTGTGTCACTTTAAATTGAGCTTTTAAATAGTCCAGGTGATTATTAGGTCAAGATGATCCTTTCCTTGAATTATGTTTCATAAATTATCCTAGAATATCCCAAGTCTGGCTTCATATTAAAATTAAAATGTCAAGGCATAGATATTACCTTAGACCAATTGAATCAGAATATCTGGTTGTGGAACCTGGGAATCATATATTTTAAAAATTTCCCTGAGTGGTTTAAATACATGATGGGATTAAAACCTAACTAAAGTTAGGATAAATTTCTGTAACTGTCTTGCTGCTTATTAATATTTGCACCAGGAATTCAAGGAAACAGAATTTGCATTTCAGACATTTATATTTATTATTTGGTAGTAATTCTGGTAAAAGATGTGTTAAAACTTTTATCTGATATTATTAACAGCTGTAATTATTTTAAATTATCTGCAGATTTTATTTATTCATGTTCTTATTCACCATGCCTATAATAATCAGAGTTTATTTTAAAGAACTCATACATCATTGGAACTGGAGACTGCCAGACTAAGTGAAATAAGCCAATCCTCAAAATCCAAAGGCCAAATGTTCTCTCCGATTAGTGGATGCTAACCCCAAACAAAGGAGATTGAAATAGAAATCCACTGGAATAGACATAGGGAAACAAAGGGAAGGGAGGGGGTGGGTAATAGGAAAGAGTAGAATTAATTGGTCATAACTTTCCTAGTCTTGTGTTTGTATACACTATCAGAGAAACTCCACATCACGTACAACCACAAAAGTGGGATCCTCAGTAAAATAAGTTATTTTTTTTTACTATGTACGTATGTTCTGCCAAAATACATTCTACTGTCATGTATAATTAAAATTTTTTTAAAAGAATTCATATGTCATATATAGATTATAAATGACTTTTTCCCCTTAAGAAACCACAAAACAAGAATTTAGAAGCAATGCTAAACCTGGTTTCTTCCTCTTCTCAGATGGCAGATCATGTACTGGAACTCTTGCAGTGAACATTGAAGATGTGAATGACAACCCTCCCCAGTTACTCCAAGATTACCTTGTAGTTTGCAAACCAAAGATGACATACGTTGACATTTCAGCCATCGATCTTGATGAACCTGTCCATGGAGCTCCATTTCATTTCAGCTTGGCAAACACCTCTCCAGAAGTCAATAGAATATGGACCATCAACAAAGTTAATGGTATTTAGTCAAAACTCGTGATTTATATGCTCGGAAATGAAAGAATTACTGGAGGATGGATTTACTTGTTTACTTACACAAAACATAATGCAAAATTGATTTTCAGGAGGTCAAATAATCTTTTACAAATACTGTGTGGTGAGTGTGTTACATATTATAAATAAAATGAAGGGAATCGTGACTTTTATGCAAGCAAAATTTACATTTACAAGACAGACAAAATATGCTTTTCAAAATATTGGGCAGCTTATTGTTAAGATAAATTTTCATCGTGTTTTTTAATTAATACTAGTCAGGGAAAAGAGAGACCAGAAAATGTGTAGCTTAAATTGTATTGTAAACAGGCTCTGGAAGTGAGGACTCTGGGTGAATGAGACAAATATACTGTGGTATTCTGTACAGGAACATGGTGGAATATGAAAAGGGGCCTTGGCATTGGAACCCCAAGAGATACCTCCTATGATCATAGTTTTTTTGGGGGGATGTAGTTCTCTGTATTTCATTCATATTTCACTCTGTTGTTTTGTTACTGTGTCATTTTTTTTTTTGTACCAGGGATTGAATCCAGGGGTGCTTTAACTACTGAGTTTCATCCCTGGCCCTTTTTATATTTTATTTTGAGACAGGGTCTTGCTAAGTTGTTCAGTGCCTCACTAAGTTGTTGAGGCTGACTTTGAACTTGCCATCCTCCTGCCTCAGTCTCTGAAGCTGCTGGGATTTGTCGTGCTGTTTTATGCAACTGGACTTTTGGATATTCTGTCCCTTCTTCCTAGAACAACTCCTTTATTATTTCTTACTTTATATTGATTTATAATATTTTTGGAACACCTACTATTAGGCAGTGTTCAAGATCCCAAGGAGGTGTGTGTGTGTTTGTGTGTGTGTGTGTGCGTGCGTGTGTGTGTGTGTGTGTGTATGTATAAATGAATAACAGACACAGTCCCAGCTGGGATGCTCAACCTCTGTGAAGTCTTTCTTGAATTATAAGGAGCAGCACCACAGCCTTATGCTACCTGCATTATTTCACCTTTCATCTTGCATTGTCACATGGGTTCCTCTGTCCTCTAGCACATGGGTTTCTCACAAGATTTGTAATTCTTTGTTATTTCCAGTACCTAGTCCAGTGCTTAACAGTTCCTAACTGTTTAAAAAGTATTTAATCAATATTTGATTAAGAAGTATTCATAAAAGAAGAAACATACTAGAGGAATAAGTGGATTGTTGTTATTAGAGTCTAGAAGGTTTTTATAGGAATGCTCAGTTTGGGAGGAAATTCTGGCGATGAAGAGTCTTAGGAGCCAGACTGAGTTAACTGACTTTGGACAGTAGGTGACAGCAGGTATGCACAGGAAATGTTCTCAGAGGACAGCGCCATATCCAGATTTAGGCCCTATAAAGTTGACATTGGTGACAGGAGGACAATTTGAAGAGGGCATAATTGAATGATAAGGAACATCAGAGGCTGCACTTCTGTGAATAAATAAAACATGACCATGGCTCAATTGGTAATCTTGAAGGAGGAGTGGGACTTGACAGTCTCACTCTAGACATTTATGGTCCTGAAGGCTCCCAAATTAACCCAAGTAGTAATTCACATTCCTTGAAGGACTTTAAGATATGAGGTTCAGCCAAACCCTTCAAGTTCTCAGAGTTAGAAATTCCAGATGACTTCTAGTATGTACGTTTTGCTAGTTGGTTATATTTTTAAGTCTGTTATAAAAATTCAAGGAGGTTGTGATTACCATTGAAAGTCTGTGGAGTTTTTAAAGTAAGGTATTAAGACCACGGGAGAAAACTATGACATTAATGAAAACAAACTTTTATGATGTTCATTATCTATTTTTGCATCAGTCTTATAATTAGTCTGAGTGATACAATCAGCTTTTTGGTGTTGCAATTACTTCCAGATGTAAGGCATTAATCATGAAAGATCTATTGAGAGCCTTAAAAACTTTCTTTCCCCCTAAAGATAAGGAACAGACACCAGAAGGTAAATGGATAAGAGAATGCAAATTCTTTATGTGTGTATGAACTGGTACTAAAGAAAACTGCTTGAGCTGCATATTAAGATTGAATCTAGCACTACTAGTTTGCATAGATAGGAATATTAAATATTGCTGGAAGGCTACTGGGTCATTCCAATGCCAAATTATTTCTTTATGGCCTCCTTCCACAGAGTTATAAGGGGTAACATGTTAAGTTATAGTATTCTTTGAAAGGGTTGAAGGTATTTCTCCATTTGTATTTATTTTCATATGGCTGGCAACTCCTAAGAATAATGCCTTTAAAAACAAGTGTGGTCAAACAGATGCTAAGGGAAAAAACACATGATCATTCGAAAACAACTTTTTTATTTTTTACAAAATTTTCTTACAGATACAGCTGCCCGTCTGTCATACCGGAAAAATGCTGAACTTCAAAAATATATCATTCCTATTACTGTGAAAGACAGAGCGGGCCAATCTGCAACCCGAAACTTGCGAGTTGATCTCTGTGACTGTACTCACCCCAGTCAGTGTGTCTCAACTTCAAGAAGTGCAGACGTGTCACTTGGAAAATGGGCCATCCTTGCAATATTACTGGGCATAGCACTACTGTTTTGTAAGTATTGTCACTTACTTCATGTTCACATGCATAGTAGAAGATCTGAGTGCAGGACTGGGTCTTCAGTCAGCTTGTGCAAGCATCCATCAGATGTGAATATCCTCAAAAGTTCCCTTTATGTTATTATCTGAGTTTGTTTTGAGACCTTACTGTGGAAGGAAACATGCTCTTTCTTGAGATAGAAAATTTCATATTGTGGACAGAATTGTTAAATATTTTTTAAGATTGCACTAAATCTACTAACATACAGTTTCTATTCCTTGATCCTGGTGTTACCACCTTTTAGGGTTAAAGAGAAGCATCTAAAACTCCTGATATGAGAGTTCACAAAAGCCTTTCATTTCATGTCTTCTTGCCTTTCAGCCAAAGACATGGGGGAGATGTTCAGATCACAGAAATCTCATCTTGGGTTTATCTTGCAAATTTTGAATTCTATTAGCCTCCCTCATGCCAGCTATGTAGTTTCTAATGGCACCATAATTCCCCTCTGCTTTTACTTCTGTCTATGCTCTAGCTTGGATTAGCTCTGTTCTGTGATAGGAGTAGTGCTTAAGAGCAAGATTCTGGATTTATACCCAGCCCTTATTATCGCAAGCTATAGGTCCTGGGGCAAGTTATGTAACTTTAGGTTTTCTAATCTGCAAAAGGGGACAGTTGTGATAACCTACTGTATGGGGTGGCACTGAGGATTAGCTGAGTTAATTCACCTGAAATGCTTAGAAAAGTGTCTGGTAAATTTCTAGTAAGTGTTTGTTATTTTTCATCAGCCCAACTATCTTATCTATCTATAGCATAAATGATATATATTAATATGTATATATAATTTATTGGTTCTTTTTAGTTATACAAAATAAATAAATAAATAAATATATATATATATATATATATATATATATATATATATATATATTTAACATCTACTATATACCAGAAAAGGAGCACTCTTGAGTAGGCAAAAGTTGGTACACTTTTTCTATAAAGGACATGAAAGCATATTTTTTAAACTGTGCAGACAGTTTCAGTTGTATTTAATCAAATCTGCCCTTGAAATTAAAAGTAGCCATAGGAAATATGTAAATGATGGACATAGTTGTATTCTAATAGAATTTGATACAGAAGCTAAAAATTCAAATTACATGTAATTTTCATGTCATTATTTTTATTGTTTTTTATTATTATGTTTTTTTTTCAATCATTTAAAAATATAAAGTCTTAGCCCATGGTCCATACAAAAACATATGGTGGGCGATTTGAGGCTATAGCTTTGCCAGTCTATTATAGGGTCTTTAAATCATTGTAGAGTTGTTGGTATTACTATTGGTTTTATTATCATAAATTATGAACCTCCCATAATTATGATATAGAACAAAAATTCTAGATAGATAGATGCAAACTAGGTTTAATGAAGATACTTAGAGATAAATCTACTCTTAGAACAGAGTCTGTTTTGAGCTGGGCATGGTGGCACATGCCTGTAATCCCAGCAGTTGGGGAGGCTGAGGCAGGAAAATTGCAAGTTCAAAGCCAGCCTCAGCAAAAGTGAGACACTAAGCAACTCAGAGGGACCTTGAGTTGCTTATTTGTATTAATAAAATACAAAATAGGGCTGGGGATAAGGCTCAGTGGTTGAGTGCCCCTGAGTTCAATCCCCAGTAGCCCTCTACCCCCCAAAAGAAAAGGATCTGTTTTGTCATGTTTTTATATAGACTAGTCACCCTTTTGGGAATCAGTAAATCTCTTTAATATCTTTGTATTAAATGAATGTCAGTGATTTTTAAATGTGTTACTTAACTCATATGTTTTAATGTGGTGGGCAGAATTCCCTTAAATCAGAAAATTGTCAAATCACATATACGATCCTTTCAAATTTTAAAATCTAAGCTAAGTTGTGGTTTATTAACTTAGAAGGCCAAGATAATTCACGGGAAATTGTGCTTGTTAGTTTCATTTTCTTCTAGTAGCCCCTAAGTTATGAGAAATGAGGAATGATTGTAGTTGTACGTGGTTATTTTATTCTGCATATGTTAAATTAAGTTTTTTTTTTTTTTAACTCAGCTGTATTGCTGACTTTAGTATGTGGAGTTGTTAGTGCCAGAAAAGGGAAAAGTTTCCCTGAAGATTTAGCACAGCAGAACTTAATTATATCGAACACAGAAGCACCTGGAGATGATAGAGTGGTAAGTAGGCATTTTTTTTTTTTTTGGATGAATCTTTATCTATCTACTATAGTTTGCTTCCTTTAACTCATCCTCATGAAGCTTTTCCAAAATATAGGAGTTTATTTACATTTCTAATCAGGTCCAATTTTGTAAGTATAAGTATTTGGTTTGTCAGTATTCAAATGTTTCTATAGTAGTATTTATTAAATATATTAAACCAGATTTGTGTTTTTGTTATATTTTTTGACTTTATTTATTTATTTTGAGACCTTTGAGTCAAATGAATTGACTGCTTTTTAAAAAAATTTCTTTTTTCCATATTTTAAACTGGTGCATTAGTATATAATGGTGGGATTCATTATTATATCTTCATGTATGCACACAGTGTAAATATATGATTTTCTGGAATTATTTTTTTCTTTCTTTAGTATTATGATTTAAAGCTGATTCTTTGATGTGAATTCATTGTGACAAAAATATTTTGGCCACTCTTTTCAATTACATTTCCAAAGCTTATTCATTTAATCTTATTCTTTGATTATTTTGTAATAAGATTTAAAAAACTTTCTAAAAGTTTTCAAGATAAGTAGGAAAATAATCTGTTTAAAAATTGTGATGGGGGATTTGGACCATTACTGTCACCCTGTTTCCTTAGAGCTGCTTGGTTCTATGCTTATCATTTTGTGGGATAGATATGAAAAAGTACTTACAAGGCATGGCTCTTCTTACGGGAAACAGAATCTACTTTAATGGAAAAGATAAATAAAAATATGACAGTAAACTAGTGTGATAAAACACGGTTGGAATTCAAAGACACCTATAATCTATAAGTATAACATTTATGGTTTGAATCAACTAGGAAGGCCTGGGAAAAGGGGTGTGGCTTTAATTGTAACTTAGAGGAGATGGAGAGAATAACTAAAGAGGGGAAAATTGTCTAAAGAATAATAAAGGTGATGGCAAAGTCTAGGGACTGTTGGGACAAATAGTAAATAAATTGCTTTGAATGGAAGAAGCCATGTTGGAATAGAGGCTTCAGATGAAAGGTTGAAAGGGAGAGGTAGGAGCTGGGATTTTATCACAAGAAAGACTTTATTTTCTTGGTAGGAAGAGTCAGGTCAGACTTTTTCAGAGGAGTGACATCATGCCAGTCACTCCTGGGATGGGGGATCAAGAGAATAGGAAGCCTTTTTTTTTGGTGTGTGTGTGTGTGTGTGTGTGTGTGTGTTAGGGAGGAAGTTAAGGCTCTAGATCTTCTGAGAGTTTAAACATGAGATAGCACTATTAGGATAATGGAAAAGTGAATTTTAAAGTAGGAATGAAAAAGACATATTTTTGAAGACATAATGTTTAGCTGTTTACTGAATTTGAAGGACAAAGTAAAAAGTATAGATAAAGTGGCAGAGGGTATAGGCAGGAACAATGACTATGTATGTCATTTTCTATATCTCCAAGTGAGGAAGACTTTCTTATTTACCATGTAACTCTTTACCTCCTTCTCACCGTTATGCAAAATCATAGCCATGTATGCTTGACATGTCTACTTGCAGAATGCTATTATCATCTCCATAATTGTAAAGTATGTCAGAAAATGGGTTTAGGTGCTAAGTAGCCCTGAGTCATAGTAAGTTCTTATTTTATATGTGAAAATGGAATTGATAAGCTTTACTTAATATTTGTATTTTGCCATTTGATGCTAGAGCTGATGGTATTGATTGGCCATTTTACCATATTTACCTGTTCTCTATTAGGAACACTTTTATTACTATTATTATTATTATAATTAGTAGAAATTGAAGTAGTAGTAGTATTCTATAAGGTGCTTGGTATCATTCATTCATGCCAGAATATAATTTTAAGCAAATTTTTACAAACTTTAACAACATTTCATAGTGATTACATAAAGTCTCATAAGTACAATGAGGAAAGGTGATGATTTTAGTTTTGGGTCAGAGTTTTAGTTAAAAGTATACAGAGGGTCGAGGGTTGGGTGAAAAATCAGAAAAAGTAAATCTGGGGAATTATTGACCTGAGTAGGGAGTAGTTGATACCCTGTGAAACTTTGGGACAAAGCAGATAAATGTGAGCAGGAAGAAAACAGAGAATAGATCCAGTGTCTGGCACTGTGGGGTCAACATCGGCATAGATTTTTGTGTATTTTCAGGTCTTTCATTAACTTGGATATGTATTTATTATGACAAAATTTCACCATCATGGAGATTTTATAGTCAGGAATTAATTTTTTCTTGTAATGGAATTTGACTGTAGCAGCAATCTAAATATGGGGTAGCACTGCCACCAAATGGCTACTTTTCAATTCTCTTTTTTTGATTTTTTCCCCCCAAAGGCAACGAGATAGCATGCATGACTTGTAGATATATTTCAGGTTATATAAATCATTTGAACTTGAATATCTTCCAGTTTCATTAAAGACTCTAGACATTAAATAGTAGAAACATTAAATCAATAAGAGGATGGCACAATGGACAGTCTGATTATAGTGAAGGTTCTTGTTGTGACATAGCATAATGGTGTATAGTCAGCTGACACAGCAATTTACTGCTATAAATAACCCCTGACCTGTGGCCCAGAGTGCTGAAGTGAAGGTCCAGGGCTAAGTTAATGTTTAATCAATCTCTTTTATTTCAAAGCATTTCCTTGACACTTGGCTAGTTACCCTCCCTCCCTCGCTCTCTCATTCTTTTTTTGAACTAACTTCTGGAAAGAAAAAAAAATATATACCAGATTCATCTATAATTTTACTTCCTATTTACTTGGTATTTTTTGGAATTTCCTTGACAAAGGTCACCAATGACTACTTTTCCACTTTTTTACTTATATCCAATGGGCATATCCTGTATTTTTTAAAAAGATTTTTTAAAAAAATGGACACAATATCTTTACTTTATTTATTTCTATGTGGTGCTGAAGATGGAACCCAGTGCCTCACATGTGCAAGGCAAGCGCTCTACCTCTGAGCTATAACCCCAGCCCCAACGTCCTGTATTTGAATTAATTCTTATCATGCTCCAAATTTTTAAAAATTTCTTGGTCATTCCCTCCTTCTCACAATCCTGTCTGCATGGCTTCAGAGTCCTACTTTTTTAGTTCCCTCTATTATCTCAGCGGTTGTTTTAGACAGATCCTGTCACAGCTGTATTTCTCTTCTCCGTGCTTTTAGACTTGATTTTTTCTTGTGGTTCTATCCTTAACCCTTTTTAAATTTTGGTCTACAATTTTCTCTGAGTACCTTAATTATTCCTGAAGTTTCAACTATCACCCCAAAATTATGACTCCCAGAATTATGTCTTCAGATTAGGTCTCTCACATGAGCTCTAAGGCTGCATATTTATATGTTCAACTTGAAACTTCATGTGTCTTAAATACATGACTCCAAAATTGAGTTGCTCACCCTCCTCTTGCCCTCAAGTACATTTTTCTTTCTTATTTCAGTGAATTGTATTATTATCTAGTTGGCCAAGTAAAAGGAGTCATTCCTGACTCTCCCTTTGCTGCTTATCCATCTAGCCACCAGAACACTCTGTATGGAGTCCATCCACTTTGAGTTCATCATTATCTGCCTAGGTTTAGGTCCTTATAATTTTTCATGGGGAAAAATTCAGTGGCCCCATCTGATCTTCATGATATTAATTTGTCTCCATCTTATTTATCTTTTACATTATTGCCTAGAGTAATATTTTTAAAATGTGTTCCTCTCTGTAATAATTTAAAACACTTCATTGGGTCTCTATAATCTCATTAATAAAGTTGGAATTTTTTTAGCACATCATGGAGGACTTTTTCTCTTTCATCTCTCTGTGCAATCTTTTTCTCCTTTGGCCCTCTTTCATCTCTCTTTGTGCCTGTCACTATCTCTCTCTCTCTCTCTCAACTTCATGTGGTAGCCATTCTCAAGTCACTGAAGTTGAGGACCCCTGCAGTAAGTACCCCATTTACCTTTGACTCCAGACTCTTCTAGAGTATTGCATTCTTCCCCAACTCCTACAGGTTTTTAGTCCCTCAGTTCAGAGTTTTCCCAGTCTACTCCACTTATTCTTTCTGGGATTGTGTTTTAATCTTTGACCTCTGTGTTGCTAGCATTTTGTGTTCACCTACACAGCAGAGTAAACACATTCTTAAAAGTCTTATCTTTTTTTTTTTTTCTTATTAGAATAAAAGCTTCTTGCAGTCACGGAGGGACTATGTCTACTTTTGTATCCCTGTGCCTTTGCATTTATAGTAAATATTGATAAATGTCTGTTGAAAACATGAATGAATACATAGAAGGTTGAATGAATGGTCTCTCTCCCTCTGCCTTCTTGCTACTTTATTTGAAATTCGTTTCCTCCCAACACTGATGGTTTTACTTTATTTGTATTAAATTGTAGTGTTCTGCTAATGGATTCACAGCCCAGACTGCCAACAACTCTAGTCATGGCTTTTGTGGCACCTTGGGATCTGGAATCAGAAATGGAGGGCAGGAAACTATCGAAATGGTGAAAGGACACCAGACCCTGGACTCCTGCCGGGGGGCTGGGCATCATCACACACTGGATTCCTGCAGGGGAGGACATGTGGATGTGGACAACTGCAGATACACTTACTCCGAGTGGCACAATTTCACTCAGCCCCGACTTGGAGAAGTGAGTTTCCCTATGTGCTTCAACTTTGAAGTTTAATATGTGTATATTTTTACATTAACTTTTTAATTTTTTTTAACACTGAGCCACCTCCTTAGCCCTTTTTTATTTTATTTTATTTTTTTTTACATTTTTTTAATTATTAGTTGTTCAAAACATTACAAAGCTCTTGACGTGTATATTTTTAGAGATTGCTTTTATATATTGTTCCATGTTCTTTCTCTTGCTTTCTCTGGTCATTTTTTTAAATAAGCTCTTTGATTTTGTTACATTAGCTACTTAAAAAATCATTTCCTCTGTCATATTCACTTCCATAAAATTAGAGGTCTAGTACCATTTATTAAAGTTTTAAATTTAAGTGTTCACTTATGTCATGAATTCTTTTGATATAGAAGAATGGGGAAAATTCTAATTTGTCATGATTCCAAACTTCCCAATTCAAGCATGTATTTCTCTGTGAAAACAAAAATATTTGTATGCTATTGAGAATGAAAATGAACATTATTTATATGAAATATTTATTTATTATTTGTTTTTTAGCTTTTAAGTTTATTTTACATTGACACATTATAATTGTATATTGATATTGGGTATGGTATCTATATATGATGTAGAATGATAAAATCACCCAAGAAACCATTATTTTTTGTATGTGTGTATGGTAAAAACATTAGAGATTTGCTCTCTTAGCAATTTTGAAATATTTTTTAAATGTCACCTTTGTATGAAATCTTTTTAGTAGATAAATCACCACATAAAAATGAAGTGTTTTTAATCTAGAAGAAAGCAAGAATGTGAAAGAACAAGGGATTCTCAGTTCACATCAAAATCCCTTAAGAAGATTGTGGAAAATACAAATGCCAATGCTCCACTTGGAAAGGTTCTAATTTAATTGATTTGGCTTCTTTTAAAAAGTTTCTAAGGTGACCTAAATGTTAAGTTAGGATGGAAAGCCACTGGATCAAATATTTTTGCTGATGCTAAGTTTTTACCTCTTTGAACCTAGGGTACCATTGCCATTGTAGAAAGGACTGGAAGCTTAGTCCCTTGGGTGGACGGCAAATGGGCAATATCCTGTGGTAGGGCTGTAGGTTATCATATGTCCATAGCATTTTTAGTTTTTTGTCATTTCAAATGTTAATCCTTTATCTGTTTGAAGACGGATGAATACTCTTCTATTCATGTAAGATCAGGTTGAGAAAGAGGAAAGCTTAAGACACTCTTAGGAGAGTTCTACAAAGCACACACCTGCTAATGAGATTAATGAAAGGTAAGATGAACAAGGTCATGAAGAAAGGCACTTGATAACATCAGCCAACCAAAGGAACATCAGTTTAGAGAAAGGTGGGCATGCAGGTGGGGAAAGGGAGGAGGAACAGAAGTTTGACAGTCTGCCAGACAAGATAGCAATGGGAATAGATATGGTCGACTGCTTTATTACAAAAAATCCAGTTTTTGCAATGTGGTTTATGTTGATTATTTTTAATTTCAGTGAATTCTCTTGTGCATTTCTGTATTTTGCATGTTTTAATTATCTTGGAAATTTGATTCTGAAGTCAATATGGTAATTCTTTCCTACTCTATAACTGCATATAATAGTGATTTTAGTTGACATTTACTGTACAATTATAATATGCTTGGCATAATAAGTGTCTATTTCTTGTGTTGTTTTATCATTAATTTTCAAAGTAATCATGTGAGTTGGTTACTGTCTTTATTCTCATTTTGGACATGAGAAAATGGAGACTTAAGGTCTTATTAGTAACTTTTTCAAAGTCATAGTTAGTTGGTAAAGCCAGAACTTTGACTCAGAATGAAAGATGTTCTATAAGAAAGCTCAAATTCCAGTCCTATATATATTGTCTAGGGGGACTAGCCTGAATGCTAGAATAAAATATAAGAACAAATATAATGATAATACAGATATACTTAAATATAGCATTTGTATACGTGATCTTTTATTTGTGTGGATTATTAGAAATATATTGACTTTATGATATGTAAAATATATTGACTTTATGATATGGTTATAATATAGACCAATCATGTGCATTTTTTGTGTATAGGAATCCATTAGAGGACACACTGGTTAAAAATTAAACATGAAAGGTAAATAAAAATAAATTTTATGTTCATATGTTTACGTTGTTTAAAACAATAATACAATCTCTCTCTCTCTCTTTTTTTAAAATTTTACAGAAGTTGCATGTGTGCAATCAGAATGAAGACCACATGCCATCGCAAGACTATGTCCTCACATATAATTACGAAGGAAGGGGATCTCCAGCTGGTTCTGTAGGTTGCTGCAGTGAAAAACAGGAAGACGATGGACTTGACTTTCTAAATAATTTGGAACCCAAATTTCTTACATTAGCAGAAGCATGCACGAAGAGATAATGTCACAGTGCTGCAATTAGACACGTCCTTGTGAGGCATTCTGGATGTTTCAAAATCAGATATACATGGTCCTGGACTTAACAATGGTTTGACTTACAGGTTTTTGTTATTTTTTTGACTTTGTGATAATCTGAAAATGATACACATTCATGGGACACTGGACTTTGAAATTTGAATTTTGACTTTTTCCTAGTTGGCAATAGGCTGTATGACACTCTTATAATGCTGTGCAGCAGCAATGAGCCTCAGCTCCCAGTGAGCTGGGCCTTCATGACGGGAAGCAACTGATGCTTCACAGGATATTGCGTTGCTAAGCTACGAGGTTTGGTAAATAAGGTGTATCAAATGCATTTTCAGTTTAATGACGTTTTTGGCTTATGACAGTTTTACTGGAACAAAACCCCATCATAAGTAGAGGAGCATCTGTATATATAATGGATTGTTCTAGATTTTGAAATATATGACTTACCAAATTTGTATTTTAGAAGCAATTTGTTACTTATCTTTTCCAAGAAGTGAAAAATGTTAAAACAGACAACTAGCAAATATCATGCTATAGTATTGGAATTACGGTCTATAAAGGATCCATTCTCTAAAGATATTTTTCTGATAAATGTTTTGGGTAAATATTAGTTCAAAAATAGCAAAGCTATTATCATATACTAATTTCAAGGGATAGGTTAAAAAATAGACAAGAAATGTTAAATATGAACAAAGTTTTGAGAAAAAAAATCATTAAGAGTAAGTTAAATTAAAATTTTTGTTGCTCTGAAGATTTGGGATCAACCCTCACCCCATTTTCACTATCAAATTCCTCATTTGACCTTGAAGGCAAAATTTGCTGAACTAGCCTATTTGAGTGGCAATAGTCTATAGGTATATGTTCAAAATTAATATGTATGGGTATGAAATTATTATCAATTTAACATTAAAAATGAAATGAAAACAAAAATGAAAGCGACAACTTAAAATGAGGCTGGGCTGTGGTTTGTCCTTTAATAACAATCAGAGGTTTTAAAAAAAAACCAGAGCTTCTTATGCCTAGTTCTTACATACTATGTGATAACTGAGTATATCAGGATAGTTTATGTTCACATGTATAATTTGCTTAAACTTGTAAGCAAATTATACTTGTTTTTTAAATTATACTTCTTCAATAGGAAGAAAGGAGGGAACCAACTGGAACGGTAAATTTGTTTTGCAATATAAAGATTTCTGTGTCCACAAATTAGTAGCAGACAAGGAAATACCCGCCATAGTTAGGACTCCCAGATTTCTGGTGGAAGGTTCCATAAATAAGGTGTTTTTCCTGGGATCAAATACTAAAACCATATTTTAAACCTTATCTCTGCTGAAATTAAATCCTCTATCACCATTTTTTTCTCTCTCTCCTATTTATGAACATCTTTTTTTATTTAGAACCAAATACCCATGTCTTCTAAGTCACAATGTAGTGGCTACATGGAACGGGGAGGCAAATCTTACTGAGACCATCCAGTTGGCAGTGGCTGTCCATCAACTCAATCCTATAGACTATCACCATTTATACTGCGTTCTAATCAGAAACAGGGGGCTATGACATGTTTTCCTGACTCACTCTCTTGTTATAAAGTGGCACTGGCTTGATTCAAGATAAGCCAGGTTTCAAGAGCCCCCTTCTTTTATTTCTCTCCCATCACTGTCCTCCAAACTTCTAGGAGACATTCACTTAAGTGGCCAGTACTCTAGATTTTCAATCATCTTTCAGTGTAAAGTATTGTTTTTTAATCAATTTATTTTGGAACAAGAAATGTTGCATAGAAGAAATCTGGAATTCAGAATGCATGAAAGAAAGAGATCAAGTTGTCCTTGAGAACACAGTGGAGGGCAGGCCCAAGAGATCAAATTGTCATTTTGGAAGAGGGCCAGCCTGAGTGGAGTATTTGGAAAGTCAGAGAGCAACAGGCCTTCAAGGTCATGGAGAGACACCAGCAAACGTTGGGAGTGGTAGTGAAGGCCAGTGGTCTGCCTCATAACTCTTTCCTATGCCTGGCCCTACTTTTCCCTTCTTAAGTCAGTGCAGCAGTGGTTTGATTGTGGAGAAGTGTCTGCCAACCCCTTCGTCATGTCTCTTCTTGTTTGGAGTGTGGAATAGGGAGAGGGCGGGCTGCATGATGAACCTGAGGCTTTCAGGATGGGTCTGAACTGGTTGTGCAGAACAAACAAGGCACTCAAGAAGAAAGCCTGATTCCCTCTGGACATGAAGAAAGTCTTTACCCTAAAAGTGGTTCTAAACTTCGGATTGGGTTCTCCATTTTCCTTTCTCTCATTTACTGCTGAACTCTAGGTTTTTTAGACTTAGATTTTTGATACAGTCATTTTCCAAGACTTCTAATTTTAATGTAATCATTTGAACATGTAGAGTTGTTCTTTTCTTCCATGTGTAAGGTGAAAATTATGCTATTTTAGTGTATAAGAATTTTTTTAAAAAAATTTACATTTTTTCCTTGGGTTTTTAAATTGTAAATATGCAGATTGTTTTTTTCTTACATTTATAAGGAAGCAGTTAACTATCTCAAGTGCAATGGGGTTTATTTTGCCATGTTTTAAATACAGCTTTAATTTTGTCATTAGAAGAAACTACTTTGTTTTAAAGAAACTTGGCAGGCTAAAATAAGCAAAGATTCAATGTGTAAATAGTACTTACAGTCATACAATATAATAAAATAGTGCTAATGTGGTTTCTTGTCTGTACTGTGTTTAGAGACTGATTTGGTATAAATTGCAAAATTGTTTTTCAGGTTAGCATAGAAATAGAATTCCTCAACAGAGTCACTGTTGTATTTATGGGGAATATTTCAAAGAATGGGACATTATCAAGTTGTCAATATCATTAATATATATTATACTTTGAGGTGAGATTGCTATTTTGAGGTACTGCTTTTTAAATGGGTATCTACCTATGTGTATGTTTACATTGGAGTTTGATTTCTCATGAATATTATTACAAGGTAATTATAATTGCAAGGTGTTCCAGAAATAGTTCACTCAGACAGGAGTTTTATTTTGAGGACCAGTATAGTCAAGGGAAAACATTATGAGTTTAAATAACAAAAATCCAAAGCAGGCACTCAATATTCCAATCTGGGTTCCTTCACTTACTTGATAGATAATGTCTGACTTTTATCACAAGATGATCCAAACCAAATAAGGTGGTGTGTACTTCATAGTGAATCTTTTCCCCATGTATGAAAGTGATCCCTTACAAAGGTGAGATTTTCCATTTCAAAAATTTGTTAGTTGAATCTAAAGTCTTAAATTTTAAATATACTTTGGAACAGAATTTCAATTGCAGGAACTTTTATTGTGATCATTATTTTTGTGTGCAAGTATTTGACTTCAAGGATGTTCATTAGATTTTTGTCTGTAGTAGCAAAACATTGACTAAATTCCATGTGTCCAGCAGTATTGATTTAGTTAAATATTGAGTCATAATAGTTGGGCGCATAGACACTAGAGCCAAATTGCTTGGATGTGAATCCCAGCTCTGTTACTAGCGGGGTCTCTTAGGCTCTGTATCCTCTCTCAGCTTTTTCATCTTTAACATCAGAACAACAATATCAACTTTATGGGATTAAAGTTTATACAATATCAACTTTATGGGATGATTAAATTAATGAACATATTTAAAGCATGTAGAGCATTGCCTGCACATAGTAGAAAATTGGGTTAGGTATATAGTCAGTAAAATCATATAGTTGAATATGCTATAAAACAATATCTGCTCTTTTTTCAGGGTCAAAATGTTTGTGCTTACCTCAGGGGAAGGAGGGGAAGAAACCTGAATAGAGTCTTCCAAGAGAATAGAATTATGATTGACTTTTGCATTCTGAGTTTATTTTCTACAACCAAAGAACAAAATTTTGAAGTGTGTGTTTGTAAGGTGCTACCAGACTAAACAGCTTCTTTTCAGCTTTTTATTATTTAGAATTAGAGTTGGTGGCATAAATGGAAAACTTAGTGTCCAGGGTAAGTTGGCAACCCTCTATGCTCTGATAACTTATTGTGGTTCCACATTTGAATTTCAAAGCTTGTGTTTTGTCTTTGGTTTTTTAACAAATCGTAGTGAAAGTCACAAACTATAAATTTCACCATTTCAACCATTGGTAATTGTACAATTCAGTTGCATTTAGTACATTCAGAAATTTGTGCGCCTATCACCACAATCTAGTTCAGAACATCTTCAGTACTGCAGAAGGAAAACATTTAAGCAGTCATTCCCTATTTCTCTACAGCCCCAGGAATTAAAAATGCCTCCCAGGGGCTGGGATTGTGGCTCAGCAGTAGAGCACTCACCTAGCACATGTGAGGTGCTGGGTTTGATCCTCAGTACCACATAAAAATAAAATAAGGTATTGTGTCCAACTACAACTAAAACAAAATATTTTTAAAAATGCCTCCCTTCACTTTGGAAAGAAATCCTAGGACATCTGAAAGGATCTGAATATTTTCAGAAATAAATAGGACTATCATTCTCTTGTCTAATTGAAAATCAGGATCCTTTTGTGACAATCAAATGAATGAAAGCAAAAACAGATCTGATAATAAGAATAACAGTATATACTAATTTGTTATTTGTAGAAACATTGTACCCTTTTGTAAGAATTTACAGCTACAAAAATGGTCATTGTTAATGGTCACAAAGAAAACTGAACACCAATGCTATAATAGGTAATGTTTGATACAAATACTCAATTGAGCAAATGCATCAATTTTATATTAAAATACAAAGATATTTATTCGTATTTAATTAATTTCAGTGAGATATAGAATACAAAATTGGGACAAGTTTAATTTTGTTGTACAAGAATTCAGAAAATTAAAATTCCTTAATTTTATCTGGAAAATATTTTCCAAACAAGTTTGTCAACCTGGTCGTAATGTTACTATCCCTACTCAGAACGGTAAACTCTTCTATTAAGTTGAAACTCACACTTCCAATTGGCTTTATTTTTTCTGTTCTTCTGATGAGAATAGTAGAACTGTATCTGTCTTTCTGTCTATCCATCCTCTACATGCTGCCTGAAGGAGTTGGATCTGGAGTGTGATCTCTGATGAAGGCCCATGTTGTGTCCTGTGCTGGGATGCTTTCTGTGTAGCATCATTGAACTTTAGGTAGTCCCTGTCTACATTTTGCATATTCATCTTATTATCATATTCATCACTGAAATACTAGCCTCTGCTTGAAAATAAATTCACCAAAGCTTAGCAGTCTCGTATCTATCTATAAAGAAACTATCAGACTTGCCAGCATATAAGATACATTTTCTTCTAGATTGTGCCTTAGGGAGTTTCAAGAGACTCTCAAACTGTCCCTGTCTGAGGACTGACAAACATTAGGACTTGGGGGAACAGAAAAGCCAAAGAGTTTAATTATGGGTGACTGGGGAGGGAAAAAGGGTGATAAAGAAATTATTATTTTTCCAAAAATATGAGCTTGTAATACACAAAAATTTTTGCAATTTATTTTTTCTTTCTGGCAATTTAATTTGTTCTCAGCACCCAACTCCAATTCCATTTAAGCAGACATCTTTGTGTTGATTAATCTCTCTGAGGGTTTACCATAGGATTAAAAGAGCCTCCTGGTTTGAAGCCCTCAGAAGCTCTGCTCTGTGATTAGTGTGGGCACTGCCTCAGTGACCACTGGTATGAGTCAGTTTCCAAACATCAGCCTCTCTCCTTCCCCTGCCCTTGTGCTCCCTGATCAGAGCTGGCAAATATTAACACTAAACCTCAGAAAAGTCAAGGTGAAAATAAAACCCTAAATGATTGAGATTCATCTTCTATCACTTGGCTCAAGGTAGACTTGATATAGAAACTTATTAATATAAAAACAAAAGAAAATATATTTTTGGGATATATGAGAGATGCAAAGATCCTTGCCTATATTTCAACAAAGAAGCCATTAGAAATAAATCCAAGAAATAAACTGGTTTACACTGTTCTTTTAATTTTTTGACTAGGTAAGTTCTACATGAGTCCTGAAGGTAGGAGAGGCTTGGTGTATGCCTTTGCCTCTGGCTCCCAGTGTCCATGGCTTCTTTTCAAGTATCTGCCAGAGAGAGGGGGCACACCCTTCCACACACCTTCACACCTCTCCTCTCCTCTAGAGGGAACAGGAGTGGCTCCTGGGGCAGGACAAACACATTGACAGAGCCTGGAATCATGTTGTTAGTACATATAACTTCAAAAGTAGAAGGTTCTTCAGGGGCAAATTTGAAAATGCTAAGTTCTGGCAGAAAAACTTATAAACTCTCTCTTGTATAATTTTTTCTCTGACTCCTGTGAACAATGCAATCACTGTGGGAAGAACATGCACTTTGGGTACTACCAACTAGCATTTTCCTTGGCCCAGGCTAATAGATACAGATGCACAGGGACACTAAAAATGTTGTTGCTGAATTCTCAACACAATTTATATTGATTTTATTATTTTCTTTTCAAAGTGCCTTAAGGTAAATGTATGTTGTGTGATGTAAGTGCATACACATTCATTTTATTAAAAAGATAGATTTCAATTGTCACCTAAACAGATTTGCTCTCTTTACATATAAAATTTGAGTCTGTGTCACTGGCTGTAGAGTTGTGCTTTGTTTTTGAACTTACAGCTCATGTACTATGTAGGTTTCTTTGACATGATGTGATGAGTTCCAGGCTAAAGGGCAATTTCACAGATATTCCTACACTGAAGCTTCTTCTTCTTCTTTAAATATGAATCATCACAGACAAGTTAAAGCAGACATATAAGATTACTTGGGGGAAATGCCAAAGAATGGCTTAAGCATATTAGGCTAGGAAGAGAAAAGAATGCAATGAGTTTTATTGGAATCAAGTTGCTTTATTCACATCTTTGTTATGTGACTCTACTTGGTGAAGGGGAATATATCATATCCATAATGAGAACAGTGTTCAGAGTTAGACATGAGTATGTTCCTCAGTCCATATCTTAAAAGGCCGTATTCTTCAAAAGGAACCCTGTTCACCTCATTCTCTTGACAAAGAAAGATTCTGTATCTTGAACTAAATTTTATATACTAACTGAGGCTGCAACTAACAAACCCAACAACAAATTCTTATACCCTTAAAGATGTTGAAAATATACCTTTATTTCTTCATAACTTAATTTGTCTTTATTTTGGCACACACACATGCCCTTATACCTAGGTAAAAAAAATGAAATAAAAATATAATTTTATTAGTAGTTTACAATTAGGACTCTCTCATTCCTCTATTACTGAGCTGTGTCTAAGTTTCAAGCAGTTTACTCCTTTTCACATAATTGGTGAAGAGCTTCTGTTTTTGAGATCTTTATACCTAGGATTCTCCAACACTTTTTATTTTAAAATTGTCTTTTGGTGAAGGTGTCGTTCCTGCACCGGCTCTCTGACAGGGTCATAGCGTGGGGGATGCTGCGGCAGGGCCGCACCATCTGGAAATTGGAACCATTAGGAATGTTAAGTGTTTTGTTTATGATACTCATGATATAGATAACAGGGCATATGTCAATCGTTAATAAAAGTATGTATTTCCTGAGATTGCAGGAAAATTCCCAGAATGAGACTAAGGATACAATTGAGACATGCCATGAGGTACGTTCCAATATCTCTCAGGATACAAACAATAGAGTTACTCCTCAAGCCTGAACAACAAGAAATATTTATCCCATGGTTAACAATTTACACTAGCCCTCCCACCCCTATCCCATCCTAAAGCCACAACCTGTACAATAGCCCAGCTACAGAAAAACAATTGCTGTGCCAACAGTACAAGGACCACCGTATGTAACTTATGGTATCCCTTTTGAGGAAAAGAGGCTAATAAAAATACATTGCTCACTGTCTGGGTTTTTGCCTTACACAGAAACTTATGATGAAAATGGAAAACACATAGTTAATATAAATGACAAATGGGTTGAGGTGTAAAGCCTGCCCTTTAGTTAAAGATTACAAAGACATAAGAATTGGTGTGCTTTGACCAAGGATCAAGGAAGTTCTTTAAGAAAGCAGTTAAATAGGTCATATGAAAAAAGAAAATTACTTTGGAAATTAAAAATAGAATAATGTAAAAACAACATAGATACATTTTAGAGGCACTTCAGAGTAAGTAGTCTTTTAAATAATAGACTTTCATTACTTTAAGTGGGTTTTACTGGGATTTTAGTTTAGAAGTAAGAAAGCTTACCAATAATCACAAGTATGCTTTAAAGTTAAAGGTTAATGAAATAATTATAGGTATGCTTTAAAGTTAGAAGTGAATAATAGGTCAGGAGTCATGCAGTCTAGTTGCGTTGCCTCGTAACTAGTGATTGAGGTAAAAACCTAAAAGCTTAAGAAAAATATTTTGAACAATGTCCTCAATATCTTAGGTAATCAATGTATGTCAGAAAGGATTGTAACTCTTGAAAATTATGTAAGTAAAAAATGTTTCGGACTTTGAAGCTATCCATTAACTACCTGAAAAAACACCTGTAAAAAAGGTATAAAAGTAAAGGTCCCTCCATGGGCAGCAGAGATTTTTTTCGGAGGCTGCTTGTAACTTGCAACCTGTTGTCCCAATTCTTCTTTTGCCGAAGCCACTCCTCCTTCAGGATCCCTGGAACCCCACTCCCCCTGCTGGGGCTAGACCTTGGCAGTGTTTTGCTAATACTTCAAAACGATGTAAGCACTTCTAGTCAATTTCTGACCAGATTTGCTAGGTAATATAATTAAACAAATTATTTCAGCCAGCCAGTTAGACTAAATTCTTGTCTTCAATCTGTACATTAACATGCAAACCAATCATATAACAAAAGAATGAAGTTATCATCTTGATAGATGAGAGTAAGACAAGTTAAAAACAATGATCCAAAGAGAAGGTCCCCAAACCAGAAAAACAAACATTTACATATATGAACAAAAGATAAACTTCTAATTTGAATGCAAGTAATGTTCAGAACAGGTATAATAATTGTTTGGCCTAACATGGGAAAACCTTTCATTTGCCAAGTAACCTGGATAAATACTTAGTTTATCTGAGCTTCAGTATATAGTTTAAACAAGGCTCCTCATTCATTCTTTCAATCAGTCAATGACATACTTTTCGATCAACTCCCACAGGCCAAGCACAATTCTAGATGCTAAAGACAGAGCAATTAATATAATAACCCAAATCTGTGTTTTAATGGTAATTATATCCCTGCAAGAGAGGGAAGATAGATTATAAACAAATGTAGAAATACAGGAATAATACATCCTGCAGCAATGGGTGATATGAACAAAGTAAATTAGAGTTAAGGGCCTAGAGAAAGACGGGAGACTTTTTATTTTATTAAGAGTGGTCTAAAAAGGCCCTTATAGTAAGATATTTGAACAGAGACCTGAAGGAAGTGAGAGAGCAAGCCATGTAGATTCAGGGCAGAAAATGAGAAAAGATAGTCCAGGGAAAGGAAACAGGGAACATGGAGGCCCTGAGGTTGGGATTTGGTTGGTATGTTCAGTATAGCTAGTATGGCTGAAGTTGGGTGGAAGAGAGGAAGAATGGGAGCAAGGCCAAGGGGAGAAGCCAGGTCTCCAGGGTTCTGTGACCTTAGTCATTGACTGGCATCTTACACTAATAAAGTAGGAGACTCTAGGATGGCTTTGAGAAGAGGAGACACCCAAGCTCCAATAGTCCTTAACACCACAGGCTAAATGAGTTTTCTTCCTCTTCTCTTCCTTTCGCTCCTTTGGCTTCAACCTCTCTTCTTTTAGTTTTCTTCCCCCACTGAGTTTCTTCCTTGTCTCCTCTTGTCCTCCATCAGCTTTATTTTATTTGTGTTTTTTTACTATTTCCTGGAGTTAGAGCTGAGTTTGCATCTTCACTTTATCATTTGCCAGATGTCCTTATTGGCATGTCACAGGGGCGGCTTCCTCCATTGGGCCTTTGGAATACACAAAAGGCAAGAACCAGCAAGTTCTAAGTCGCCAATACCAACTTTTGGCATCTTGCTCCTCTTGTAACAGTGGGAATCCAACTTCTCTTCCAACATGTCTTTACAGCCTTGAGCCTGATCTGATTTCAACTGTGCTATTTGCCCTCCAGCTGGTTTACATTGCCTTTGAATATTTTGTTTCCGCCCTGAGCCAATCCACTTTTGTTATAAAGCTTGGAAAACATCTCCCTTTAAACAGAGCTTGTATGTCTTCACTAAGCTTATGTCATGCTTTGGTCCATGTATGCTCACAGTCTGGGTTTTCTATTCATCTCTGAACCAATAATCCTGTATTTTTACATGCTTGTAAGAAAGGTAAAAGATATAAATATTTATGCTCCAAGAAGCCTGTTGAACAAGCATGCAGAACACTCTTCTTGGTGCTTAAGCAGATTAAAACAAAGATTTTAAGAGATTAAATTTGGCAATCTATGTCACTTTGATTGCAAATTAAAAGTTCTTCCAATTGTGTTGACTGACGTTCACTGTAAAGAGAAGACAACTGTCGAATTGTTCTACTGCAGAACTTTTTATTTCTGACTTTATTTATGTGTCTAAGTAACATGTTTTATATAACTTCGGAAGGCATTAACATGATTAGTGTATGATGGGTGATTATTAATCCATTTCATCTATTGTTACTTCAACTGTACCTGCATCTATAGTTAAATACCAGTTTCTTTTCCCCCTTTTCCCCTTCTGTAGTTAAAATCCAATATTTTATTTCACAAGCCATAAAAGCTCAGGGTAATTCATGTGTGTGCTAGATACCTATTCATAAGGACAGAAAAAATGTCTTTCTGCTGTTGTTCATACCAGATATGAATCAAATGTAGCTAACATGTTTTCATGGTAAAATTATTTTCCATACCTTGCCAACACTGGGTAAAAATCTCAAGTTTTAGACTGCGTCCTATTTTTTAAATCCTATTTTTAAATTTTTGGTATTAAGATTTTAGGACAGAGACTAATTGGAGGGCCTTTTGGTTTTTACTGACTTTTTTTTTTTTAACCTCAAATAGTATTTGTCAAACTTGTAGATACTATACATACTTGCTTCTATATCTTTAGATAAGTTTTTTCTTTTTTAAAAAAAATCTATCAACAGAATCCCTGCATCTTGGAAGGCCCATATGGAATTCTCTGACGTATAGCTGGGAGTTTTACAAATGTCACTACAAGTCTCCAAGTAGAAAAAATAGGCAGGTATTAATAATACCAAACGTGTTTAATTTTAACTGTCAGCTTATGTTCCGGTTTTAGCAACATGAAACATTAACGTGGTATAATTTCTGGATTCAAATTTCCCTCAAAGGAAATTTGCAGCATTTTTCTTTCTTTTTCATCTCATTTCTTTTTTTTCTTTTTCGTTAGTGACTTACAAGTCTCTTGTAAATTTCTTGTCAGAAATTGTGTACTGAATAAAGAAAAGAGCCCACGGGTGACTTTTCATGAGATGGAATAGGAAATAGAATACCAGGACATTGATCTGAAGAGTAACTGAGCCAGTACATAGAAAATACTTAAAACACTGCCTGATATTATTATTTATGTGGTGTAGTTTGTGTCCTGTGGTGATCCTTGATCACATTTCTTTTATTAGCCTAAAATATCACTGAATA